AGCTTTTCATATAAATTTTATTGTCTTAATAATAATTTTCAAGTATTTTGTCTAATATTTTGTTTTAATAACAAAAAAATGTGTGAAAACTGTTTGAAATGAAAGTTTCAATTTTCCGTCGTTGAAAATAATATTATGTATTCAATTTTTTTATTACTTTATTGTCCTTGCATTTTATTTACTCACATTCTTTATGTTATTATTTTGACTTTAGCACAAAATATTTGTACACATTCATGTGATATTTTGATTGGCCTATTATTTATTATTTTCAATACAATTTAAGATTTCAAATTTAAAAAATTTTCTGGTTCTGAGATTCATTTGGTGATAATCTTTTTCTGCGCTTTATTATTCTTTCACATCTTCTAATATATGAGCAAATTTTTTTTTTTGAGTTTTTTTTTTAAATTAGGCTGTATTAAAAATGCTAGAGAACATTTTTTTAGACCAATAGGTCACTCTATTACTGCAATAAATTTTCTAAACTTTGGCATAAATACAATATGAAATTATCTTATCTACAGATGAATAAAAGTTTTATGTAAAAGTTATAGACAACTTAAGAGGAAAACTTTGAATAGATGTAAGGTTACTTTCCACACTTTTAATTCGAGTAGTATTGGATTTTGAAAGTTAAAATGGGTTAAGTGTGATACCGAAATGAGCGCGTGGATGCAATGACATGCGTGGAGATAAATTATTAAAATTTGATAATTATATACTACAATTGCAATTTTGTAATTAAAATTGATATTTGCATAGTGTGACGGTGGAATGATCTACGAGGAAAATTTCTTCCTTTAAGTTTCAATTCGCAAATTGTAAAAAATTCATAAGTAGTAGCAAAATTATTAATTCAAAAAAAAAATTAGATTCAAAGAGATTGACTTTTGCAAGAATAATTGATAATTGTAAATTTAGTAAGCTAAAATCGATTTTTAATAGATTAAACTTCTGAATTCTCATGTAAATTTACTTTGTTAGAAATTAAAATGAAAATAATTTTCAATTAATAAAATTTTTGGAACGAATTAGTGTCTAAAACTAAAATTTATGTTGAATTTTTGTTAGTTCCATCCAAATTTTTGAAAGAGCATTTTCAAAATATACCGAGTAATAACTTTCATGCTGACGAGTACGGACTTAATTTTTCTTTGTAAAATTTAGAGATTTTCTTGTTTTCCAACTAATTCCATTTTGTATGAATGCGACATCTAATTTAAGTGTTTTTCATAAAAAAATTATTCTGAACTAGTTTTATCTATAATTTGCACAATATATATATAAAAATTATTAAAGTTAATTTGAATACTTATTCCAAAACAAAATAGATAGGATGTCATGTTAAATAGAGCTTTTTGTGACATTAATGACAAGTTTCATTGTTCATGTGATCAAGTTTCATCCTTTTAATTATTATATTTAAATAAATTATTTCAGATATTGTTAATAATACATTTCTGGTTTCCACTTTCAAACTTTATGCAAAATTTTTAAATTATAATAAGTTTTTGCATATTACATTGGAAGATTTCTGTTCATTTTGTTACAAAATTTATCTTTTCTGTAAAAAAAACAAAAAATTTAGGTTTTTGATAGAAAATGAAAAGATTTTCTAATGAACAAATTAAAAAAATTGAAATAAAAGAAAGACAACGATCGAATAGATAAAATTTGAATACATTACTAAAGACAAGTAAGTAGACAAGAAGGATTTATGCATTGCTGGAATAACAATTTAAAAATGAGCAAAAGTAAACACAAAATTTCAAATTTGGTCATTTGATAAATGAAATTTTTTTAAATGCAATTTGTTAATTTAGAAATTTAAAAAAATTTTTCGCTTTTATGAATGAAAAATTTTAAGTTTGTTTTATCTTTTATCAAATTCTTCTTCTTACTAATACAGTTTAGATTTCAGAATACTGAGGGGTTTTTCTGAGTAATTTAGAAATAAGTAAATTGCAGAAGAAACATCTCAAAGTAAATGGTTGAAAATAAGGATTCTGACTGTAGTAAATATGTAAATAATTTTTAATGATTGCATTAGAAGCCAAAGTATAAGGTCTTATTTTGAAATTATTTTGCATTTTTTCCTGGCGTTAGCTGTACAAATTTAAAAAAAATCAAAGGCATGCTATTATTTAATAGTATAACATACATAATTACACAAATTTATGCTACATATCTACTTAATATTCCTGACATTATTAACGTGATGAAAAAGTGTCAAAAAATGTTTGTAGATAAACTTATGACTGCAATACTTATATTTCACACTTTTAGAGTGAAACATAACTGAATAATGATTTATAACATTATTATGCTGTTATTTTTTAAATTTGGATATAAATTGATATCTTATTGATTCCAATTAAAATTGAAAAAAAAGAAAAATCATTGTAATTTCTTCCATTTTGATTTTGATTTAATGCGATAATTAATGGAAATGGTATAGTTGCATTGAATTTAAGTACTTTTATTCTGTAATTTTTTCTGTTTTCAGACTTTCTCCTTCATTACAAGTTTGAAATTGCTTTAGAAATATATAACATTTATTGTTCTAAATAATTTCGCTTCAACGATTTTATATTTCGTAGAAATTGTAGATCGGATTGATCATTTTTAATCACTTCACTGCACCCTCAATGTTTTATGATGGTTTTAATTTATGTCTGAGACAAGGTCATCTAAACTAAAATTGTTATGTTTGCTTGCATCGAAAAATTTTTTCAGCACTACCATTTAACGTAAAGTATGCTAATTGTATTATTTATGAATAATTGACTGATAATGATTGAATAGACAGATCAGAGCATAATTCAGTGTTCTTAAATGTTATATATTTCTAGAGTAATTTTAGTTTAGATGACTTTTTCTTTTACAAAAAAGGGGAAAAAAAAAACTTATTAATCGGCAAACTAGAAAGGTCACTTATTGAGATCAATTTGAAGCAAAATTAGAATATTTTAAATTAGCTCTTGTGATTATTATCTATTTGAGACGGCCCGATAATTTCCATCAGCAATCCATTTGTAGTATACGTGTAGATAAAAAAGAAAAAAAAGAATTCATGGGTTATTTTGATTTGACATATTTTTCATTTTTCAAAAACTTTTTTATTCACCAAGAAACGAAAATTTTAAATTTTCAGCAATAAAAATTTTGAAGAAATTTAATTTTTCACTCAAAAATGATCAAAAATTGATAATTTTAGGTTAATAATCTGAAATCTTTACTTATGAATAGCAATTTCAAATGGTTACTAACAAAAAAACCAAAAATTTACAGCTGCAAACTGATTGAAAGCAATAGTGCAATGCAATGCATTTTACGTTAATCATTAAAAATTTTAACGTTCTGTAATTCTTGAAAATATTCAAAAACTTTTAAATTAGTTTTGAGCAGATTGAAACTATTTTCTATCTAATCTCACTTTTAGTCAAATGAAAAGTAATTATAGATAGCACACAGACCAATTTTTTGACTAATTTTTAATTAAATTGGAAATAATTTTAGCTTCTGAAAGAAAATGTTATTAGCAAAAAAATGTCACGCTTTTCTGAATTATATATTTTATGCTTTTCATTTTCATAATTTTTTTTTGATAAACTAAGTTGTTAGTTTTTATTAAAATAATCTTAAGTTGAATAATTTTGATCAAAAGAATACTTTCTTCAATTCACAGTTGCTTGATTTGGCTTAGAAGTTTTATTTTATGAATTTCAACTTGAAATTATTTTAAAAGTTTTTGAACGAAACTGTCCTCAATATAAATTTAAAAAATATGGCAATTTTCTGCGCGATTTTCGGTAAAACCATTAAGTTTGATAAATGAATTTTTTTTCTGCCTTATTTTTAATCGCAGGAATAGTAAGTAAGGTCAAGCAGAAAAAATTTCACAGAATTTCTCACTTGCTTTGCCAGATTGTTGATTTTATAAAATTGCTTCAAAAATGACATCTACAAGAAATCACAAGGTCATTCGTTTATGCACAGATAAGTTGTTGTGAGTAGTAAATTCACGAATTTACCAATACATATGCACGAAGCTTTGAAATGTATACTTGCTTCTGTGTCACTTTGATCAGTGTAATAACTTTGTCAGATTGTTATCAGTGATTATGTATTGCAAGTGAATGTTCTAGTTTTCCTTGTCAATGTTACTGATCACAGGTAGATAATGAAGAATGATAGATGGCATAGTCTGATCAAAAGAACTAAATTTTGATTAGATCAGTACTTACAGTTTTTAAAGAAATATTTCCGAAATGAAAACAAATCAAAAGTGAAATAAAAAGCTTCAATAAAGAAGTCTATATGATTTGCAAAAAAAAATTAAGAATGCAAGCAAAAATGCGATGTTTGTGTTAGTTGAAACGAAAAAAGCAAGACTAATAACTCAATAAAATTAAATCAATCATCAGAATTTTAATTACTTTTTAAGAAGTTTGTTTAAAGTTCAATTTGATAAAGAGAAAAATGACTAGAATTTGTATTCTAATCAAAAATAATAACAGATAATCACCGTTTGATTAAATCAAAAATTCAGAATTATTGCCATCATTTACAAGTTGGTGCTAAAACTGATAACTGATAGCTAATAGTCATCGTTGCAGTAATGTATCATCCTAAAACTTGTAGGATATTTCTATTTCTGAAATACTTGTTCAAAAACTGTAAAAATAATCATTTGATCAGATCATTTTTGATCAGTAAATACTAATTTTTGTTTTAACCTCTTTGAAGAATATATTCATAAATAATTTCAAAAATTAACCTTTTGTTCAATGTAATGCTTTTATCAAATTTTTATGAATACTTTTCTAAATTCAATTTTTGTATAATAAAGTACGACTTTTCGTAAAAAGCAAAATACTGCAAGCAATGGTCATTCCAAAATAATCTTATTTATTTATACGTATCTGAAGTAGTTCATTCGTTATAATAATTCATTGCATGATCAAATATTCAAAAATTCCCATTCAGATCCATCGATGCTTCGATTTGGCAATTCATCAACATCTGATTACTTCAAACTTCTTGATTTAGATGGCGATCATTTACTGATTGGTGCAAGGTAACTTAATAAATTCTCGTAATATTTAACTATTTTTTCTGAATTTGCAAAATAAAATGTTTAATTTCAAATCATAAAAGTAATTGCTCATAAATAATAATTGTTACCATTTTTTGTATATAAATTATGGAATAAAAAATTAATCACTAAATCGATCAGTCTATTTTTAAGCTTACCCTCAATTCACATATTATGCCTCAAAACTTTTGAGTCAAACTCAGAAAATTTTTTTATTAGCTTTTTTAGAATCAATTTTTTATACTGTAATTTTTTTTTTGATTTTGCCACTATTTTTGCAATAATTATTGATATTATTATTATGTATTTTATTAAAATTACGTATTCATTCATTATGCATATAAAAAATATTAAAATAATCCATGAAACACATTATTTCAATAATATTTGAAGTTTATGAATAAAACACTATTTATATATTAATGCTAATAATTATTTGGCCAAATTTATGCATAATTGCTTTACTGGCTGCGGGATTTTGAGGAACAATATGTAATTTGGATATGAGCTTTTAGTTACAACCAATATTCGTTATGTTAAAAATATCGATAAAAATCGTGATAATTACTAATATAAAAGACAAAAATACTTGAGAATTTTATAATTTTCATAAATTTTTGAATGCAATATTTACAAAAACGTTGACAATTACAATTATCTGTATTACTGTCTAACAATTATTACCTTCAAAATGACGTTTTAAACTGCTGAATCATTTGCAAATTACAGTGACAAATGTTGTCAAATGCGTGTAATTTTCTAATCAAATTTTAATCATTCGTAAGGTAAATGACGTGATTTAATATATAAAATTGTGAAAATTTTTTAAATTTCCCATTCAAGCGTGTTTCTACTTATTAATACTTATAAAAAAACAAGTTTTGTCCTTGGCAAAAAGAAACGGTAACAATGTTTCGATAGTAATTAAACTGCCTAAAATTTTCTAGCGAAATAAAATCAAAAAACTGTTAGGGACTGTGAGTGAAAATTAAATTTAAAGATTGTAAAAAGTCGAAATTACAAGATTTCATTTTTGAATTTTAATTTAATATGTTGTTATGAATTAAAATTTTGCGTTATTTGCTCAAATATAGACAAGTTTGTAATATTGAGCTAGAGTATAATGTAAGTAATTTTGTTTATTAACACACATGCAAAGTGATGAATAATTAAGACTTTAATATAAACACTGTTATCTTATCAGCGGCGAATATATATTGTAATATTAATAATTATTATTAAATTAAACTTTAGCTACAGTATTGAGTGAATTTAATTTTGTAAAAGTATTTTTCAGAGATGTAGTCTACAATATTAGTGTTAGAACATTTCTTGAAGTTCATTCAATCAGATGGCCGTCAAAGAAAAGTGTTATCAATGAATGCTTAATGAAAGGAAAACCAAAAGTAATGCTTGCACATTTACATCTTTATTTAATCTGTATTAATTTAATGATAAAAAAAATAGTAAATTTAAATTGCTATTTTCAGTAATGCTTGAAATTTAATTAAACCAATGGATTTACGCGAGATTTGGTCTTTAGAAAAATCTTTTAATGCTTTAATTGACTTTTTGGGAATCGAAAAATGGTGCAGACTAAATTTATAATCCAATAACTTTATCCTTAATTTAAAATTAAAACATTCTAATATTAAGTCATTTAATTTATGTATATGCATTTAATTATTTATTTAATTGTTTTCACTGAAATCTCGAATAACATCAAGTTTAAAAAATGAAAAATCAAAAACTTATTAAACGAACACTAACAAATTTTTCAGAATTAGAAGTCTCATTTGAAACTAATATTTTGCCTCTTAATACTAACATTTTAGCCAACTAATATTGCCTTGAAAATAGTTTTCACACTGTAAACAGAATAATAAATTTTGCATTGTTAAAATAAAAGCAAAGAAAAAAGTACGTTGTTTAGTGCAAAGTAAATGTAATCTCTGACCGTGGAATTCTCGCATAAATTCTAGCAAAAAAGTAAGAAAATAGAAAGTAAGCAATGAGGGAAAAATTGAGGAGATAAATAAATGTTCAGGTTGATCAGTCATGGATGAAACAGCGAATATTACCATTTTTGCATCTTTTATTTACGTACTGGACACTTTTTTGATTTCAGACTTCGTGTATTTTTTTCAGAGCAAAAATATTTAAACAAGCATATTTGTTATAAAAAATATTCATAAAATGAATAGGAAATGGCATTTGCATTTTTTTAAAATTAATTTTCATAAAAAGTTCATGCTTTCAGGAGATTTATGTATTTTAATAATAATTGCATATTTAGCATTTCAAATTACATTTTTGATTGTTTTTTATTTATAGAAATAATTTGATTTTGCCACTGCTTGAAAGGATATAATTGATAAGAATGATACTTCATTGATGAATGTAAATCTATTATGATATTATGCATCATGGCGTTAATTTTAGGATGCATGCCATAATTACGTACGTGTTCTAGCGAAAGATGACAAGAATGGTGTCTTAGTTTGTGGTACCAATGCTTTTCAACCAATGTGTCGAAAATACGAGCATGAAAAGTATGGCGAATATAGACAAGTGTTAGAATTTTCTGGATTAGGCATTGCTCCTTATGATCCAAATTATAACTCAACATTTCTAAGGGATAATGATCTGTTATATGCAGGCACAGGTAATAATTTGAATTTTTTGGAAAATTCTTATAAAACTTTGGAATTAGAAATGATCAGATATTTTGAATAGTATCACACAATTAAGATTTTTATACGAAAGTAGATATCCACTAAAAGTTTTCAGCAGCTTAATTGAATTTGAATTATAATAAACGAGACTTTTTTCCAAAAGTAATTTTAGCAAAAATTAATAATTTGCATAATAGCCATGTGAACTTAATAAATGTATAATAAATATTTAAGCAAATAATAAATAATTAAAAGATATGTATCCAATTGAGTAATTTTAATTTCAACGAGTATATCTTACAAGGGATGTTATCGTTCATTCAAAGTTTGTTAGTAACAAAAAGCTTATAAAAATTCAAAAGCTAACTTCTATGAAATTTTTAATAAGTTTATCATACAAAGATGCAATCTATAGAAGTCTGCTACTAATAGACTCGTTTGACTATTCATTCGGCAGAAAACAATAAAAATGCTAATGTAATAATTTTTATCTCAAATTTCGATATTTAAGAACATAAAATTTGCATATTAAAAAATTGCAAAGAAAAGCTCTCAAAATTAACGACTTGAAATTAAATAATTCGCTTATTGTTCCTAAAAATGTTGAGTAATTGAATCTCTTGGATATTATCATTGATGCATTAAATCTACTGTATATTGGGCCAGGTGGTTTTTTATTTTAAACTGACCTTTTCTATACTTTGAAGTTTGTGGCAGAAATTTTATGTAATTGCGATTAATTTGTCTGCAAAATGTAGATGTAATAGTTTGATTTTTAATTCACTTTTTCTAAGTCAAAAAAAGCTCAAACAAAGACGGGAAAGTTATTCGAATTAAAATCTACAAGTAGTTAAATTGGTTGCTATCAAATAGTAACTTATTCTTGAGGAGAATTTACCTGAAATTCATAAAGATCTGTCATTTACACATGACCTTGCAAATTTTGCAATAGTTTTATAATGTTAATGAAATGAACAATACCATTCTTAGTTTACGATAATTGTAGCCACTTTTCATCTCGAGGTTATTGCTCTGACTTCAATTTTTACCAAAAGTATATTTCAAAAAAAAACAAATAAAATAGTTCAAAAAAGGTATTAAAAAATCATGCAAGCGTATAAAATTATTAAAACTGTTTCGAAAGTTATCTCTAATAGTAAGTAGACAAATTAAATTTATAATGCATTTTAATTTCTATGTAATTTCCATTTGTAATTATCACTAACTGATGATTGGTGAAAAAAGTTAGTAAAGGTCAAATCAAATCTTTGTTACTTTAGAATGAAATCAATTATTCACTTTTATCCATCGATAGAACCGGGCTTTCTTTAAAAATTTTGATATTTTTGGATGCAATCGACGGAAAACAGTCATGAAGTATACTGAAAAGTCGACTTAAATTTGCTTACAGAAAAGTTATTTAAATAAGAAAGACTGAAGTAATATTTACTAAGTCTTAGTAGTGATTTGCATAAACGTCTGTGAGTTTTTAACTTTTGCAAATTTTTTATCAAAAAATTACTTTAAAAAAATATAATTCAGATAGAATTCAAATTGTTTCACGCTTGCACTAATAAATATTGAAGAAGTGTTTTGTGAAAATACAAAAATCGAATTAAAATTTTTACCAAAAGGTTTCTTCAATTTCACATTAGAAATTCGATCAAGAAACTAATTTTGTTGTATTTTAAGTTGAAATATTGACTACAAATGATGACAGTTCATGTCATAAATTATGGCAGTAATGAAGAATACGAATGCACTCACTCTTTTGTGCATTAAATTCACTTGCATAATTTGACAATTGTTTGATGCAAACAGCTGGACTTATTTTCGAAAACAGAGCAATTTATCAAAGATATAAAATGTCAGCAAAAGGGATTGAAGTGTAGCACAAAAATGAACTTTAAATATTTCTGTTAGTCACAAATCACATTTCACATTTCACAAATTACATCCTAAAATTGCATCTTAGAAATTTATTAAAAATTCTTAAAAGTAATTTTTCTGACATAAAATATACATTGTTAAATAATTCCTAATAGAATCTATCAATTTCCGTTATTTTGATCAAAATATTACCGTTATGATTAGAAATACTAACCCTTTTTTCACTCTTTTCTGGGCATAAAAGTCTCAACTTGCAATCAAATGTTGTAAATATTCGATATAAGTATATATTTTATATATATATTTTTTATAGTATCAGATTTTTCGGGAGCTGATCCGTTGATACATCAACGGAATGTTACAAAGGTCGTTGATTTGGGTATTCGGACTGAACGAAATGATGTCAAATTTCTGAATGAACCGCAGTTTGTTGGTTCATTTCGTGATGACAAAGTAAGTATAATTTAAATAAGTTTAAATATAATAAATTGTTTGTTTTTATAAGTTATTTAATATTTTTTACTGCACTATGTAAAGAATTCATCTCAGAAAATCTTCTGATTTCACCAAAAATTTTTGATTTTATTCATTAGTACACTTTTTACTTCAATATCTCAAATTTTTAGGCTTAAACTCTTCATAATTTATTATATTAAAGTTTAGTAAATAATTTACCAAAGAATTTCTTTAGCTTTATTGATTAGCTTTCATTGATTAAATTTAGGGTTAATTCGTTTTTACTATTAAACAACTCTTCGATGCGACCATTTTGTTTAATAGAAAACTTTTGTAAGTTAATAAAAAACTTTCAAGGATAGAACTAAAGATGCAAAACTAATACTTCAAGCTATGATTATTTCATATTTATAAATAATTTAAAATGGCAAGTCTAAAATAACGAAAATGAGAAAAAAGAAGAAGAAAATAACTCATTTTGGACTTTCAGTACGTATATATTTGGTTCCGTGAGCAAGCGGTAGAACAAGAACTTTGTGGTGCTGGCGCTGGCATTTATTCGAGAGTTGCTAGGTTGTGTCGGTCAGATTATGGTGGACCGAGACCTTATGCAAATGAGTGGACATCATTTGTGAAAGCCCGCTTAAACTGCTCTATACCTGGCCAGTATTCATTTTATTTTGACCAGGTTAGTTTTCTTTGTGAAGTTAATAAACTGTATTTTATTCATCCTTTGGTAAATTTTAATGATTTCAATTATTAACATAAATTATTCATTTACACAATCATAGTGATTCAAAAATGCCGATTTTGTCTTTCATATTCATGAATGTAATTAGTTAACATAAATTTATTAATTATTAGCGGTATAATTATTAATAACTGGATACTGCATTTTGAATTTAATAAAAAGTTGTTACAAAAACTCATTTTTCACTTTTCTTTTTTTTTCACGATAGAATCAATTTAAACATGAAAACAACATGAAAAAAATTTCAATTAATAATTATTTTGGACACATGCAAATTATACTTTAATATTTTTATAACTTCTAAATATCCATATTCTAATGAGGAATAACAATTTTTGTCGTTATTTACATAGGCAAAAGGTATTTTAATAAATATTTATAAATACAAATATTTTGATAAATGTCTACAATTATTAAAATTTCCAAAATTTTGTTATGAATCGTTCAAAAATGATTATATTTTTGAAGAAGTTTTACTTATTTGAGCTTGAATCATGAATATTTATATTTAATATGCATAAAATATTGGCAAGAATGAATGTTTCTTAAATACTCAAATTTTCATGCTTTCTTGATAACTTTCAATGAAATCAATCAGTCAATTACAGATTGAAGCAATTTCTGCTTCTAAAGTATCGTTTTCTTCTGAAAGTAACAACTTAATCTACGCGGTATTTCGTAGTCCTCTAGCTGGTATCTCATTATCTGCAATTTGTGCTTTTGATATGAAGCAAGTTAACGCTGTCTTTTCCCATTCAAAGTATACTAATACTCATCAAAACAACATGCAATCACTTTGGATGATGCAAACGCAAAATTCAAAATTCCGACCTGGTAAAATCCATTTACTCAAGTTCACATTAGAAAAATAAAAATATTTAAGACAACACTGTGTGCAAAACAAATGTTGAATTTTTTCATTAATTTAATTTGAAGTTATCATAATATAATGCTTGAAAAATATTTAAAAAGTTAATAATCTGTAGATGCATGCGGAATTTTAAATTAAATTTGAGTATAAAATTGATAATTTGTAGGTAATTGCGTTAATGATTCTCGATTACTACCTGAAGAAGCAGTAGCATTTGCTCGAGCTAATCCTTTAATGGCTGAAGCAATTCCAAATTATTTCGTTGCACCTGTAGTGGTACATTCAGGTTTTGATCATTTCACACAAATAGCTGTTGATGCTAAGGTATAATTATAATATACACACAAATTTTAATATTGATTGATCAATTTTTTAATAATGATTTTGGTACGTTAAAACATTAATAAATACAATGTGTTTTACAATTTTATGTCATAAAATTTGAACCAAAAATTAAAAATTTACTTTTGAAAGGTGAAAGCTGTTGATGGGCATTTGTATGATGTAATTTTTGTTGGTACTGATCGTGGAAATATTTTCAAAATGGTAAATATGGCTGGAAAAAATATTGCTAGGGCAAGACAACTATCTCATCATATTTATACGCTTCAGATTACTGATGTGAGTTTAGAAATGCAAAAAAATTAAATTAATTATCAAAAATACTAGAAAAATTTTTTTGGTTTATTTAGTGTAAATTAATACCACAATATTTTTCATTAATAATTACTAATTTCAACCAATAATCAGTAATTGGTATTCACTTATTTTCGCTTTTAGGAGGCGATTCAAAATTTGATGTTATATAGAAGTAATACGGCTTCATTAAATGAAAGCTATTTGATAGCAGTTAGTGAACGTTCAGTGACCCGAGTTCCTTTAGCTCAATGTAACCACTTTCTTACGTGTTATGAATGCGTTGCGTTACGTGACCCACATTGTGCTTGGAATCTGGAAACAAAACAGTGTGTACTACTTGATGATTTGAACGGGTAGAGTCTAATTTGCTTATAAACGAACAATATGTTTGTTAATTCAATTGGCTTAGAAATTATTTGCCAGACAAATACTGGCTTTAAGTTTAATCATTTTTTGTTAGAATAAGAAAAAAGATGATAAATTTTTGACCATTTTATGCTTGCAAATCAAGAAATTTGCATAGCAATGATTTCAGGTCATATGAACAAGATATTGTAACAGGCCGTGGCGATCGTTGTGGTACTATTGCAAAACTACAGCAATTTTTCAGTTTTGATACTGCTCCAATTCTTAACGATTCAGATGAACCCTTGCAAGGTCAGACTCTACTTCGTTTATTCAATCAGCGCATCAACTGAATTAAATTTCAACACAATTGTCAGCAAATCAAGTATCTTTCAGATGTATCCTACGTGATTCCTTCATCACCAACTTCTACGGTAATCAACGAAAGCTGTATCTGTGAGGATAAGCGTCCAATTCCAGCTTGTGCTTCTGGTAGTTCTGCTCCTGTTGCCATCCTTGCAGGTATATCACCAAAAAAATATTTAAAATTTATAATAAATCATATGAATGTAGACTTTTCCTTAAATATAACATTTTACACTTATGAATGAATCAAGAATACATCAAAACCAATGCATAATGTGGCACTATTTAATGAAAATATTTCTTTCTCGAGATTCAAACTCTAACAAAAATATGATTCAGTTTCAGATTCTAGCTTGAATTCATCGTTTGCAAATAACAGTCTAGCTATATCAGTACTCTGCGCTTCAATTGCAACTTTAGCTATGATTGTTGGTTTCTTTGTTGGAAATTTGTACTGTCATTGGAAGGTGATAAGTGAGACAAAGTCTTCATCATATCCATCTTTCAGCACAATGCCACAACCTGTTTATGCTTCTACCAGGTTTTCTTTAGCATTTCAATTCCACAGATGATTCAATCTTTTTTATTAATATTTACGCATTGAAAAAGCAAGATTTAAATAAAGTTTGAATTTGATTTCAATTTCAATTTGAATATGAGCTTTGCAGGGAAAATTGTTTTGTAAATTGTGACTTTTTTTGGCTTATTTTTTTCACTTTTCTAACTTTTTTCAAGTCACTCAAGTTTAAAATGCCAAATCAAAAATATTATTTATGCATACTCAATGTAAAAAATTAAGCAAAATAATTTTATAATGCATTTCGTGTCATAATGTATTAAAATGAGGTTTTTCCACTTTATTTAAAAAAAATTGCAAACTTCAAAATATTATGAGCTGGTATATTATGACAATTCATAGATTATATAATATATTATGACAATTCATAGATTATCATCACCATCACTGAATATCATTAATGCATATGAATCCGTCCCAAAGTTCACAGAAACATTTTTACCTCAACGCTCTGACTCACCGATATCTCTTATGGTTAGTAAAATAGTTCACATTCTCAATAACTTAAATAACTATCATAATCTAAATATCTAAACTTCCATATATAACCCATAAATTACAACATAATGGTTATAAACGACTGATATCGAAATAACGAGTTAATGGCCGCAAATGATGTGAGAACTACAATACTAAATTATTATTCAGACTGTTATATTTTTATAAGTTATTTTAGTAATTTTATATCTGAATAATTTTAAAATAGCTACATAGTGTCACTAATATTACACTCATAATTATTATAATTACTCATAATTACGGAATCTTATATTTGCAACATATCAAAATTCCTTTTTTAGGTAGAAGATTTATCATCAAAATTACCCTCAATACTGGGTCAATCAACACTGCCAAAAAACTACCGTACAAAACAAATTTATTTATAGTTGCTCTGCTTCATTTAGTTATGATCAACCAATCAATCAGTAACACTTCCAGTTCGATGTGCGGGTCATTTACTTTTTTTTACATTTCGTTTTGACCTTTTGTTTTATATTAAATAGTGTTGCATATTTTAATGATCGGAACACTTTTGAATTAAGTTGAATTATTAGGTACTTACATTAACAATAAGTTATTTAATGACTACTATAGCACACCATTTTTAATATTATATATTAAGACGGACAGTAATTTACAAGGAAAACAAGCAAAATGGTAACATAATAGTATAAAACTGTGAGAATTGACTTTGCTAATTGAATAGAATAATTAGACAACCATAAAGAGTGCAAGCAAATATGGATAAAATTTGATTTGAGTTGTAAGGCATAATTATTGTAAGGTACTGAAGCAGATAAAAATTCACTAGTACAAATTCTTATGATTATTAATAATGATCTGTAATTGCTTCTCATGTTTATTTTTACAGAAAGCTATTCTTGATTATTTTTACAAAACAACTGCACTTTCCCTCCAAAGTCTCCGTGAATATTTTGACTGAGCTTGCACATCAATTATGATTTTAACAGAATATTCGTGATAGCTTGTAAATAAATTACCATTAAGCACTTGCACATTTGAGATAAATTAGTCCCCAACCCTTTCTTGCTACATCAGCTATATAAACTGAACTCTCAAAAGTACATGCTCCAGTGCCCTGCCCTCCGGTGATCATATTCAAGATGTTTTGTTTGTACATAAGTAGTATTTGACTGAATTGTATTGATGCTCTTTAATAATTTGTACATAATACTCTTGTAATATGAGTACTTCAAGAAATTGATGTTGCCACAACTTTGTACATTATTAAATTTTCGATAATTGTGCTCTTCAGAAATTCTGTAGATCGATGTGGATAAAAACCTGCACGTGCTTCATTACACGGTTTTACTATTTGCAATCTAGACATAACGGTTAAATCAATATGAGCAACAAAAGAGTAGAATTATGGAAAAAAGCTAAAGACAATCTAAAACATCAAGATTTGAAGGAAATATTTTTAGTGAAGGTAAAAGGCAAAATTATAGCACTGAAACATCGAATTATAGGTATGTACAGAAATGAATGATATGTTTAAAGTTATATATATTAATGGGATGACAAAACACAGAAGCTGAAGAACAAAAGACGTAAACTCCCGCCCAATAACGTTGCTTAACAACGGTTATTAATTCATAAAAGCATGAATATAGACTGGAATAAAGCATCTGAAGAAATAGATGCCTATATTAGCTTTTCTCAGCCATTTGGCGACAAAAAATACTGAAATCAGCACGAAATTTTTTACACAGCAATTTGTTACATCTATGCAGGTACAGACCAGTATCAAGATTCCGAACCTTCTTGACATATACTGATTGCAGCAGCTTCAGCAAAGGAAAATGAGCTAATACCTAAATAATCACAGTAACCCACCATTCTCCTCAACTACTGCTAATCCTGCTTAGAACACAATTATCTATCAATAGACATTCAACAAACGCTAATATTATAATCTTTCGATCGTGTGCCTCCACTGCTAACCAACGAAATAATAGCAACATTCATTCATGAGTATTTTCGTATTTTCCCTAAAATTATTATTAAAAATGATTGCTGAAAAAAAAGTGAACCAGATAATCACAAATAGCAAGAATAAAGCAGTGAAGTCTAAAAAGCCAGAAAAAGAACCAGATTTTTGAACTTTGAATTCAACAAGAAACAAAATCAAACATGAATGTTTGGAGAATTAATGATAATGAAATTACACCATAAAAATATAATTATATACAAAACTTAGGTTCTGTGAGACCTATGAGAGATGTATGTGAGATACGAGAAACACGTGAAATTAACACGAGGATTAAAAGCATCAAGAATTGCCATGAGTTCTTCAAGTAGTCAATGTAAAACAATGGAAATCATAAAATAAACTGATATATATTATACAAACGATAAAGCTTCAGCCAAATGGTTTATAAAAGCAGGGACATTTGAAAGATGTTTAGACGACGTAAGCATCGATTTTTACAAGCCTCGACATTTATCAATCAAAGCAACTCATGATGTACGATAAAATATTATTTGCTGGATGCAAAGCATTCCTTATTTCATGCACAATACGCACACATCGCATTATTTCAACATCCCTCTCCTCATTAGAACTTACTTTGCTTCATCCAATTTTAGAGAAAACTATTTCAGAAAAATCAATGCAATTAAATAGGTTTTCCTTCTGATCTGAAATGATATCACAAGTCCTCCACTGTTTCTTCGATTTCACGCTGTAAAGTGGATGCTTTGTAACAACTCTTTCGAGCTTTGCCACCGATCTGCTCTGCAAACAATTGCATTTTGTCGCGAAATCCTAGCTTAGAACCATCAACCTGAAAATATAAAATAAGATAACGAAATATTTATAAGTGAAAAACGAACTGATCAGTTATCGATTACGAAAAGTACTAGCTTTTATTTAAATCCGTGAAAAAAATGTGCATGTTCTAAAACTAATGCTCTTTGAAAAATGCATCACCACGTCGTTTCCATTTTTCTCATTTTGGACAATCAGATTTTATATCTTTTTTCTCATTTTGGACAATCAGATTTTATATCTGATCATTTCCCTCATTTATTAAGCCTAATAAAAAAAAACAATGAAGAATAAAAACTGTATATCAAGTGAATTACAAATCACCTTTGCTTCTTGAGCTGCAGTTTCTTTTGCTTTCAATTCGATAAGACGCACTTGTCGTGGGTCTCGATATACCTCCTGAGTCCCGAGTACCTGAAAGAATATGGTCTAGTTTGAAAATGGATGTTTTCAAGCACAATTGACAATCCTTCTTTGCTTACTTGAATTGAAAAGTCACCTGAGCTCTTGGTTCTGGCGGGTCATCATCATCTTCATACACATTATTATTACTTGCATCTGCTCTCTCAAAAGTATCTCCAACTGTGTCATTCCATTGTACGCACTTTTTTTTTTGTGTTCGACAGATATTTTCACTAAATAAAATTGAATAATCAAATAAATAAATAAATTGATTTTTATGATTAAAAAAAATGTAAAAAGAAACAATGAAATGTAAGTAAAAAAATTGTAACTAATTTGGTGAAGAATCTTCGTTTTCTTCTACATATCCTTCGCCAATTGCTCTGGTTTTGCCATTTTCATCTAGTTCTACTTTTTCCAAATCTCCCATGGCTAAAAAGTTTTAAGTAATATTCTAAAAGCAATTGAAACCAAGTTTACAGCTTGAAATTACAGAAAACAATTTGAAAATGAATTTCTGTAAACCTGAGTACATGAACATTTTGTCACAGCTTTTCGAGATTGATAAAATTTTTCTAGATTTGTGAAACAATTATTCTTTTCAATAACTGCCAATATCTCCTATGACAAAGAAATTAGCTGACTTCGATTACTGGTTATCTGGCTCGAACATGGTTGAATAGAAAAAGGTACTGGAATTTTCGCTAGTTCGTTGACTAATTCACGATATTTTTGATGATCAGTTTCAGTCATTTCTGAACCTTTAGATTCCAGCTCATCTAGACATTTGTTCAATTCCTCACGTCTCTAGAAAATAACGATCAAAACAAGAAACAAAAATGAAACAAAAAAGCAAATTATGGAAAATACAGTAGTATAAAAATGCGGCCTCGATGAAGAATGAATTCTGTCGTAGAAAATGAATGGGATACAATTAATCTTCAACAAAAATGCCATGACAAATAAGGATGCAAGCAATTAAAACACTTGCAGTAGTACGGCGTTTAGGTGGTACAGGTGGTGCCTTTTTTGTAAGGCAATTTGAATCTTCCGAACATTCATTTAAAGTTATTTCATTTTCTCGCTCTTGTCTTGTTGTCCTCGATGCTGATCGAATAGAATCCTGAGATGAAGAAGAAGGGAGAGAATTTTGTTTACGTGACGCAGAGTTCCCGTCAGTTGCTTGGAACTGATTACCACAGCACAAATTGGAATTGCATGAAAGTGCATGACGATTTGGTAGAGTGCTACGGGAATGAGCAGACGGAGAATATGATTCATAGGTAGACTGATGTTTATCAACCAAGGGTAAATTTGCGTAATCGGTAATTACTGATGTTGAAGCACGCGACATTAATTCTGCCTATAAATAAGCCTGACATTACGAACGAAAAAGCAAAGATACCAAACCTCTATAACCAACTCCTAAGTACTTCTAAAAGATTATCCAATTTCAACATAAATTGTGAGTTAAAAATCTAAAAGATTGAAATAAAATTTTCAAGACAGAGACCCGTTATATTCTTTTCACTGAGCCAGTTCTAGCAATAAAATATAAATCTAAAATGATGCTTGTGAACATAATTTCAAAACTGCTGCTGCAATAGAGTAGTGGGAAAAGTGAGATGATCATATTACAATTTTTGTTATTAACAAAAATTATGGAACTAAGAAAAATAACGAACCGACGATGGATTTTTTAAGGCCATATTTAGATGTTGATTGGAAGATGAAGGGGTAATATAAAGATGAGATGGTGAACGTGATCTAGCATTATAATACTGCTGCTGACGTAAAGTTGGTGATGATATGGGACGTGAAGGCTGGATAACAATAGGACGAATATTCCGATAATGAGATGGTAAACTAGTACGTTGTGAAGTTGTGGTATTTACTCCATTCTGCACTGGAACTGCTTTATTACCAACAGCCGGTTGCAATGATGCCAGTGACACTGTTAACGACGGATCAGTCTGAAAACCAATTTCCGTAATACAACTTGTATAAAGCAAACCTTTCATGAAATCTGCAGAGTAATTCAATTCAATTCCGTGAAGTGATTTTCAGAACAAAAGTTCAGAATTAGTTCATTACTATGTATTATAATAAAGTTTACTGAGTTCTCATAAATTTCTGAAATCGAGACTGAACGATTCTTGACAGGCTGTTGATCGGTCGTAGGAACAACCATATCTCGTGAATGACCTTGAAAAGCTCTAGTATTTACTGCTCCATTCCGTCCGTGTTTCTGCAAGAAGTGTAGGTACAAGCACTATTAGACTACTTTCGCGATATAACTTGCACAAAGCAGGTATCTTAAGAATTCTATTATTTCTAATCCACTACTCTGAAAAGAAAAAAATAGTCAAGAGGTTTTAAAATTATGTTTCTTATAATTTTTCGCAAACAGTAATAACCATCAAGTGAGGTTGATTAGAAAAATTGGAGACTGTTGATGTAGCTGAACTCTGACGTGAGAATCGCTGAGAATTCATCCCTAAAATAAGTAAGTTATATGAGGCTCAAACACAATGATAAAAGTAGTAATTTAGATAGAAAATTTTATCGAACATGATGATTCTCAAATAGGAGAAAAAATAAAGAATAGCTTGAGAAAAAAGATGCAAAATATGTAGAACTTAGCATTTTAAAAAAAGATTAAGACTTACCACACTTCAAAAAGTATTTTATTTTAGGGATATAATAATGAGCGCTATTGCTGCTGTGAAATGAAAACTTACCAGAGTTTTTCAAGCTTCTATAATTCCTAAAATACTTTCTTCGTACTGTTCTAGGTGTAGATACGGGTAAGTGAAAGCATGGCTTACGACAGTTAATCACTTGTTTTATGCAATAATCACCTAGACTACAATTACGACTCAATGACACTAATTAGAATTAAATAATTAGTCGCTGAGGTAAACTGCTATGTAAATAAAGAAGTAATGAAGTAATAATAAAAGATTCAGCCAAGGCACAATAGTTTTCCAATAAGTAAAAAATGCTAAGTAATAGTCAAATGGAAAGGCAGAGTGGGAAGGAGCGCAAAACTAATATCTGCGAGAAAGGAATTAAAGTGGCAAAACACTAAACAAAGAGTGAGATTTAGACAATTATTTACTTATTTTCATTCTCTTATTCAGCACTTTTGGCTATCACGTGTAAAATATTCACCGTCCAGAACAAGTCCATTTGGCTGTTGTTGCATTAATAACAACATCATATATTCATTCTTTTTTGAACTAACTATTTAAGTTATTTATCACTGTGATAAACACAAGCTAACAATGTTTAGGATTTTTTAAACCAAGTATCATTTGATCACTGCATAACTGCAACTTATTTATCAGAAAACAACATTGAGAATATCACAGCTTCACGTTCGAAACTGTGATACAGATGTCTACCACACGAATTTTATTTCTATTCATTAAAAGAAACAAAGCTAACCATTGACAGACACATGATTATCTGCAACAATGCCAGGTATGAGCGACTGCCGCCTGTCAAGTGTTGCTGTTCGTTGCTCTGCCTAGAATAACCAAACAGTTTTAGTTTTATACAGTTACTACACTGTTAGATCAACAAAGATAGCATATTTATTCAGGAATATACTATCTTGTATTACTTGCAATACTACAAACAACAGCTTTGCATTATCCATGTTTACCATGTGTGTCATAGTTATTTCAAAAAATGATTCGACATATACTTATGATGCTTAGTAAAATCAACAAAGCAGAGTAAATGAGTAACGAAGGAATCGATCCAAGAAATAAATACAAGACAAGAAGAAAATAAAGCAGAGCACAATGGACCTGCATCGATGATGGTGGATTGCTTAACCACTGGTAAAGGCCGTTATGCCGTGCCGCTTGCTTGCATACCTCAAAAGATACAATAGGCCCGCTGAAGGACATTTTGGACGCAGCGCTGAAATAAATGTCCATCATCATTCATTTATCCTTGAAGGATAGAATGAGTTTCCCTCTTCTTTTGCAAATTCATATCTATTCATCTCATCAACTGTCATTATAACACAATTTTGTCCTTAGAATGAAATCGCCTTCAACCCCCTCTAGCCATCTATTACTTTTTGCATTCCTTTCTTTAAAATACTCTCAAAATTTTATAAATATAACAGTTATGGCAGGAAACTGCAATAACGGTAACATATGTATTTTGACGTCATTAAACACTTTCGTATACATAACTAATTCGGTAAAAAGCTATGAAACATGACAGATCAGTATAAAGCAACGCAATAATACATTATCTCTAGTTTCAATCTATTAAAAACATTTTTTTTAAATTAAATATTTAGTAAAAGGGAGTATGTATACATGCACGAAATCAAATTTAATTAAGTTTACTATTAGATCAAAACATACTCTTCCTGACTAATGCCAATAAGAGATTGACCATTAACTGAAAGCAACTGATCACCACATTCCAGACGACCATCCTGGACAAAATGAAGGACATATAATTATCACAGAATTAACCACAAAAATGATCTACTTATGCACTATGTCAGCAGTATTCTTTTCAACAACTGAGTACACATGACACGTTTGTTTGGAAATAGATAACAAAGCAAAGAAAACTTACTTTATGTGCTGCACTTCCATCCACAACTTTTTTCACATAAATGCCCATTGAACGTTCTCCAATACCCTGGACCAAGCAAAACATCATTTTTCACAATATTAGTCCAAATCGGTGCCAACAAATATAAGAATTAATATTTTAGTTACGATAAACCAATATATTTGGAATTACGACTGGATGAGAGTAAATATGAGTGAACTTAACGCAATAATATGCTTTGCAAAATAATGTAAGTTCTGAAGACAGTTTCTAAGATGGAACCAATGTACTTCTGATAAATTATTTTCTGTACTAGCAGCTGAAATATAATGATGCAGCCAATCAGTTTTAAATATAAATCAAACAAATACTACTGATGTACAATACAGAAGCAAGTAACTTAAAATACGAAATACTGCTGTATTTGCTGGGTACATTTTCAAAAATATGAATGTAAAAGTGAGACTAAAAGGTGTAGTTAAATGCCAATTACTATTAGTTAGATGGAAAATAGCGATAATCACATCTTCTTTAATTTTAGATAACAATGCAAGATACAAACATCATGTAGTAAAGTCTATTATTATGCCTCAATTTAAGTTTATGTCATCGGTTTTGGGTTTAAATTTGAAAGTGAACAATCAAAAGAGTAGAAATAAATGAAGTAAGAGATGAAGGAGGAAAACGATAATGAAAAAAATACATAATAAAAGTTAATATTTAAAACATACCTGAGCGGCAACGATACTTAGTCCAATACCAGAACTACCACGATTAAGAGTGACTGTTACAATCTCCAAATCTCTCTTCTGAAAATTTCTTATTTACCAAATAAATTTTTGTCCCTTTCAAAGTCCTTTCTTCTTTCGTTTTATTCACGATTTATTTAAAAGAAAAAGAGAATATATAATTAAAGTCTGCATTTATCCTGCATTTTGATCCAATTTAACCGACTTCACTTTAAACCAAAATCGTATATCAATACAGCAACAGACTACTCTGAAAGCTGTAGCTCATACAGCTAATTAAGATTTTGTTCTTTTAATGGAAAACGTGCTTTAAAATTTATGATTTTCGATTGAAATTATTTACGAAACCAATTCTGTTTTTATAAGAATGATCAGACGTCTATAAAATTCTATTGGTCTGATCAGCCCAAAGTAAATCTTACATAAATGACTCATTTGAATTCACTTTCAAATCTATTTACTACAAAATATAGAAAAATTTTGATGACTGGAACTAACACCTAAATGATTGAAAGTGAATTAAAAATCCTATGAACTAATGCGATACCAAACATAATACTGACCGGTTTTGATACCGAACTCATGCTTGAAATTGGTGACCTTTCATTGTGAAACAGATGATTGTGCTCATGCATATTACTCGATAGTCTTCCTGTTTCTGATTTCGACACTACTGAATCAACTGATTTGTCACCCTAAGTTAGATTAGCATCAATATCATTAACTGTAAAATAGGAGAACTTAGTGATCTTTTTTTATACAGCTTAAACAGAACTGAGGACATAAAATACGCCAAATAGTGTAGAAATGATGCTACAATAAATTTCTATCATTAAACTGAATAAATCTCAAGTAAAATACTTGAGATTTGAATAAGTCCAGTGTTTCTCTAAAATTAAGTTTATTAGACAAAATAAGATAAAAGTTTCATGATTCTTAATCTTTAGAAGACTCTTTACAGCACATAAGGAATGGTTAAACTGCTCTAACTACCATTAAATAGATTATTTCGCTTATGTGGAATCTAAAATTCATTTACTAGTAACTTATCGTTATCAAGATTGTCAAAAATGACTTTGAAACAAAGATTTTTGAAGAAACATCATCAACCCCAAAAAAATCTATCCATAAGATAGGTTTAATATCCGACAGTCATATATCTACTCTACTTTTCTTTTTTCGTCACATACATTTATTTTAAAATACGCAAACGAATATGAACGATAAAATCAAACTTTAAAATTATTTTTGCTGATTAAATACCTACATTAAATTTAGTAAGGTCTATTTTATCTTAATGTACGCCAATCTTTTATTAATTATCAACTGATAAGCTGGTGCCAGTGAATAAGTTTATAATAAAATATATTTATTCGTTCCAGAATGCAAAGCCCTTTTAAAATTTTTACTACCTATTTTAATTATGACAGACAAAACATTTAAAGTTGTACTTCTTTTTTATATATTCCATTCAGCATCAGTTTTATTATTTTCATGCTTTTGCAACTCAGCAAAAATTTTATACCTGTGATGTGCAGAAGAAATCAGTTGTTTTTGATTCTTCTTCAAAGACAGATGCATTCTTTAAATATATCGTCCAACTACCGGATGAATGGTTTTGTGGAAAAAAACGACACAGACCTGTAACAAATTTATGTTGCTCATTATGCCAGAATTAAATCTATAAGCGAGTCCTTGAGAACTTAAAAGTAACATCTTGAGTGAATTGCTGAAAATGATCTGACTTCAAAAAGTTTATTTTACGTAAGAAAAAACTTTGGAAAGAATTCAGCACCTCGTGCTTGAAAACCGTTAATCGCTTCTACCAAAGCCGGAGGAAGCCCACGAATGAGATCTGAAAACAAATTATGGAAAAAATTTAATAATATAATTATGGTTAATGGCTCACAGAAGGATAATAAAATCCCCTCATTTTCTGATAAAGAGTGATATCATGAAAATGACAGGTATAAAACCATTTTTGTTTGATAAACAGTAAAGAAAAGCATATGAATAATAATATAAATTTCTGAATTGATAAGTCAAGGAATAAAAATAAAAAACAATAATTTTTGTTTCACACTGGAAATAAAGCATAGAACAAACCCGGAGAGTAGCCATCTTGAGGAAGAAGAAAAGGTAATTGCAGCTCAGGTTCTTCTTCAAGTTGTACAGGTGTTTCGTCTTGTGTTGCCATTGCATCTGCATGAGTTTCAGCAAGTCGAACAATGCTTTCGACTAGCTCATTTGATACTGGTTCCTCACCAACATCAAGTACAATATGGTCAAGAAACCATCGAACCTGAAAAAATTTTCAACTAAAGATCATTTCAGTCCAGAATATTCTACCTCTGAAATTTTTGGCATTATTCAGTTATTTGATAGACGTTTAACTTCCCATAACCGAAAAACAACTTTACTCATACCCAAAAGATTCTTTAATATCCTACTTGTGTATGCTTTCTAAAAGCATAAAATTCAATCTAAACACTATGCACGAAACATATTTACAATTTCCAAATTAATAATGAAATGGAAAACTTAATTATTCAGGAAAAAGATAAAGATCTTGAAGTATGAATAGAATTTTTTGTGAAAAAAGGATTTGATACACAGGCAATTTTCTAAATGAATTTTATACATCGATTAAAAACTTAATAGTGTCACTAACTTGCACACTGTTTAGTTTGTAGCATGTCGCACCTAAATTACTGATTTGGTCAATTGTTTTCGGAGTTACCAAAAGAGTTATTGCTTGATTTAAACGATCCATATGACATTCAGCAGCTAATTCCAAGCCTTGCTGATAGGCCCATTCATTTACAGCAGCAAGACGAGTTCGTAGTCTGGAATTATATCGATAAATTTTGAAATAGTGCATAAAGTAATACATCAAGAAATTTTGATCTCAGTACACTCGAGCATATACTATATTTCTCAGTACACTCGAGCATATACTTTTGGCTTGAGCATATACTATACTTGCTTGATTTTATATATCTACAAAAAGGTAATGATTATGAGATAAAACCAAAAGTTCAAAGCAGTTTATAAATGGCAAAAATCAGAAACTTAGACATACCGAATTCCGAAAGCCCGACTACAATATGGCATACCAAACGAAGATACAAGCCAATTAAAAAGCATCATATTCACATAATAAAAAAGCTGTGAAAATATCTGGATTGTTAACGCTGCGTTTAGTCGACAATAACGTAACAAACACATAATTTCCTCTAACACGTCAACCATATTTTCTGAAATGAATCCAGAAATACTTAATCTTTTAGATGCTTTTGAAAACTAATGAGTATCATCAAAAATTAGTTAGCTACCACAATCATAGAATATTCTCTGGCTTTATGGAATAATAAAAGTCTCTAAAATATACCAAAATTTATCAAAGGTTCTGGTCATTAAATAAAAATTAGACATTTTTAATCTACTTTTTCGTCTCACTTTTTTGTTACCACTGCATATAAAAGTTCGACATTACTTCCTTAATGCCAGATGTGTCTATTCAGATTCATAATTAGTAGTACATATGAAAAACCAGAAGCTCACGTGAAGCAGATTGATCATCCAGAAATGCATCCCGAACTATATCTAATGAACTATCGAGACTGCGTTTCAGCACTGCTGCTAACATCCCGAATGTATTTTCCACACAAGCTGCTAACATTTCTTGAGGCAAGCCATTAGAGAAAAGTGATAAATCCATGTCTTGCTTGAAAAAATTTAAGAGTTCGCTAGAATTCGCTAACCAAAAAGATAATGATTCCCGCGACCGCCGCTGCTGTAATATGCATAAAATATGAAACTGAATCACGAAAAGTGAGTTAACAGAAACAAAAAACCTGTTATTGTTGATAATAAGCACAAAAAATTAAATTATGATTTACAAGTGGAAAGAATCTTTCACCCCTCAGCAAAGCTAAAGTTTAGCTTAACTAACATTTTTTAATAAAAACTGAAAACAAGAATACCTTTGTGAAGATAAAAAAACGATTAGCAACTTTATTGAGAAATTCCATAAACCGCGTTTGACTCGCAGAGACAGATACTGCTTGACAAGGAAATAACAAACGATGACGTGCCACTATGTAAATCAAGTAAGCTGGAGTAAGTTTGAACTGCACATCTTCTCTTTCCGAACAAATTAGATACTTCAGAAACTCGTCTTCTACTAAAAAAAAAGAAAACTACTGTTCTTCTTCAATGTATTTAATATAAAGCATAAAAAGTTAAAGCGAAGCATTACTGTTAGAACTTATATCTTACAAAAATTTATTTATTTTTGTTTACAAACCTTCTTCTTTGACTTCAGCTAATGCTGGCAGTGTATCTACTGCATACGATACCTTCTCAGCTCCTAATCTGGTCACAGTTTTGGCTATTTCACCATTTGACGTTGTAGGCGCTAATCTAAAGTGTTAAAAGTGTTTGTAACCGTGTAAGCTTCTACAAAACATACAAGGAGTCAATTGTAAATAACGAATAAGATTGAAGGAAAAAAAAATAGTAAACTGAATTCATAACGAAAGAAAGGCAGGAAGAAATCACAACAATATGTTCAGGTGATATGATATTAAGAAGTGAACAAAGAAATTCTAATTTATCAAGAAAAAACAATTCAAGAGAATTAAGAACGTTCGATAAGAGACTGTTTTCATCTGCAAAAATACCCAAAATTTTTATGCTCAATATATTCCTCAAAAAGAGATTACGAATAATATCAGGAAAAACATAGAGTCTACAGATATTAAATTTTGAAAGCATTTATTTTTTGTCATTCATATATTTTCAATTTGAGAATTGAATAAATAAAATAAAATTTAACCAGTCACAGTCTTAGATGAAAAACAATATTTTTAGCACTAATACACGTTTTTAGATGCAAATCCCAGTAGCTTACAGTCGATTTAAGTAATCGGATGACAATGCTCGAGTTTTGTTTAGATCATGCTTTCTAGTAGTAGCAGTAGCAGTAGCAGTAGCAGCAGCAGCTAATCGAATATCGGAAATAGATTTACGTTTCATATCACGTGCTAAACCTGGAAGTGGAATTCCCAAAACATGAAAATTCTTGACTGCACCATCATTAGATCCACGATTGACCCATGATGAAGACGCTGATAGGATTTTGTTTTTTTCAAATGGGACCGATATCGTTTTTCCAGTAATGTCAAACGTAGTTTCCATCCTTTCCGAACTTTGCAGCCGGCAGTAATGACAAAAAATGATTGAAATGAAAGCTGAAGAACACTTACGAATGAAAAAAAAAATAAGATTTTGCAATGATTCACATTAAATAAACATTACTAAGATAAATATAGAAAACTTCCTAGCACACTCTAAAATTTATTGAACAAATTTATGATGCATAACAAAAATTGAATAGAAGCATTAATCATGCAGCGATTCTTACTTGAAATAGAGAAAACTCTAATGACGTACTTAAATGAAATACAGACAATAACTCGGATTGGATCTTGAAATAATAGTCTAAATTTGCTCTCAGTTATTTACATTCAGTTGAAGTTCTAATAACTGCATTACAGTGTGATTTAATCATTATCCTCCTTCTACTTTATTACTTATGTACAATAAAGACACTAATGTTAATTGTTAACCATTGCAATCACACTTTACACAAACACTGAACTGAATAAACCAAGGGCATTAAACCAAAAAAAAATCTAAAGTCCGTTATCTTATCAGTAACTGCCATAGTTCAGATGAACATTTCTGTTTGTACTTTTTCTATGCAGAAAAATGCTTGTAATGTCACTAAACAAACAGTTTATAGCTAATTCTGCTTCCCAGTAATAGAGGAATTAAAATGAATTCACTCACAAAATTCCCGAAGAAAATCAAACTTTCCAAATCTTCAAAGAAGATTATGAGTTTTTAAATGATTTTTTACATTAACTATAAAAAGTGCTCAAAATCAACTCTCAACACCATGACCAACACCATGATTTTATGCAGAATTATAAGTTACAGTTCTTAAAATTTCAGAATTAATAAAATTATCAGTTAAACTGAACTAAACAGCAAACACATAATTACAACTAGTGAAGACCAATTCTTAAAGCTCATACTTTCTTTCTTGTTTAAAAACAGTGCTCAGATGCTTAATCTCGAATAAATATTTCAAAGTCACATAAAAATATGAAGTATATACAACGAATACAATGAATGTATAGCAAAATATACAAGTTGAGCGTATATACTGTTCAAATAAACTTAAAAATGATAAAAATGACTAAGTAGAGAATAGAAACATTTAGTGATATGCCTGGAGAAGCAATAGTATTTAAAAAGAAGCAGTTTCGCCCCCTGTGAAATCAATTCTTTTTGTAGGTTATGCAAATAACACATTCCAATAATCAGCAATTACGCTCTAAAAATCGCTATAACTTTCCAGTCAAGTAAGATTTCAGTTTGTGATAAATAAATAAAACTATAAAAAACTTCTACATCCAGTGCTTAATTTTGAAATTAGAATCCTTCATTCATTTTAAGAATAAACCTTAAAACGCTCACAAGCACAATTTTTGCAAAAGCGCGCACAATATCACTTTTTGCATCAAATAAAATGGTTTATGTTTTGCAATATTTTTAAAAACAAAGCATATGCTTCAGATAAGTTACGATATATGTTCTGAGGAATATATTGCAGTTGCACGTTCAAAATAATATTCGAAAATTAAAGTAGAAGAAAAAATCACTATATATTGTTACAAATTCTAGCACTTCATAAGCCAATAATACTTTCGTATTTCGAATAGAAAAAGCAGAATACTAATTTATAACTTCCATTAAATATTTGCTGCTATTAGATCAAACGAGAAATACCAACGCATTAATATTTTGATAGGTGATTTAATGCTTGACAGTAAGTTCATGGAAAAAAATGAATAAGAAATAATCATTTTGTAACCAAAATAACATCTACACAGTAAAAAATAGGTGGATATTTCACATTGTAAATTCTATAGCACTTAATAGTCTCAAATGTGAATCAGCCTCTGACAAGGTCATGGAAACTCAGAAAAATATTACAAAAATAAAGTATTGAGGAAATCGAATCAGTAAGACTGAAATAGTGCTTTAAAAATAATTTTCAACTTAATACAGAAATAACTGACCTCATCAATCCAGGATTAATTTCTGGTCTGGTCACATTAACTAATTCACTTTCGCATGGATTCTGAAATCAAGCATCAAGCAAAAGATTATAAATAAATTGCAAAAAAAGATGGATTAAAAAGCACACTCACGATTTCTCGACATAAAGTAGAGAATTAATAAAGATGGAATTCAAAAACTTGACGAACAAACCCAAGCACTCAAATAGCGGAACATATAAGTGCGACCAATTCCAATAATATTTCCATCACGAAGAGCTACAGTTTGACAAATTCGTTGACCATCAACCTATAACTTCCAATTTGATAATCAACTTTAGAAATTTATAGTGCTCTTTTTACCGAATGACACTAAACAACTTGCAAGAAACTATAAACCTCAATAAATGCATCTGGATCACATGCTGTAATTGTTACAATGCCATCCTGATAATTGATAACAGCATGCCTTGGTCTGACAAACTGGCCATTTAGAATGATACCCATAGAACGATCAGAACCAATATCTAACACACCAAATGGAAGTTGTATTGGCTTTGTTCCTGACATTTCTTCTCCATCTAAACCATCTTGGTTGCAGGGATTTACGTTGAAATGCAATTTAGAGAAACATGTAAAGAAAGGATCTGAATAAAAGACAGAAGAGCATGTAAAACTAGGCATGAAATATGCATGATGAACCAAACTTCAAAGTAATATGAAGTGTTATTTATTTTAGGACAAATCAAACAATACTAGATTTTACGACTCACCAGAAGATAATTGCACAAGGCAAGGTTTGACAGCAAATTGATTTCGCATATACAGAGTACAAGGAGCACTTAGACACAGTTTTTGAGGATCAGCGTAACCTACGCCAAATGCTGCCGTTGATGATAACGATGCATGACGAGTACGTCTTATTGGTCCTGGAGATGGTCGCTGTTTAACAACAAAAAATACTTCTTCAGATGGGTCTGGTGTATGATTTGCTATACTAAATAGTGGATATTCGTCGTAATCCATAATTCGTTCATGACGACTAATATTTAGAAACCGCAAATCGCTAAGTGAGTGAGTAAGTTTTGTAGAAACCGGTATCAGCATCTATAATTATACTACATATTTGTCATGAAAGAGTATATCCATAGCATTAAAATCACGAAAGCTACAAATGATTAATGTTTAAAAAAATCAAGCAATTAAAATTTTTACACTAACTTCTTTAAAAACAAAGAGAAAAATACAGTATCTTTGAGATTAAGAGAACAGTAAATATTTCGGAACTGATATCAATATATACAAATTATTTGTACATTTGAAGCACTTGACGCTAATTTTTAGTTTAATAAGTTGACAGAAATCTAAATTACCTCTACCAATACATAATCTTCCACATTTCTATTGATTCCATACTTTTCCAGAGTTTCTTCTAAGATTTTCCGTACAGTGTCCCGTATTGATACGAGAAGTGTAACATAAGGACGACTCGATTCCAATTCATAACCATAAATTTTCAAACTACCACCTGAAACATCTAATATGAGTGAAAAAAGATATTAAATGATTAACAAAGACTCGTATGAACCACTACAGCTAAAGCTCATGTAAAGCAGACACACTCAGGATGATTGAAACTTCCTACATTATCATCCTTCAGCATTAGCTACACCCTCTTCCTGTAACAATCAGCGGTGTATTATACCTACTTATTTTAGTTACTATAAATTGTTGGATCTACCAATTTAACGATGCAACAGAATTCATACGATGCACCGCCGGTAAGGTATCCATGAATTTTATCGCACTCGAAATACCACTAATTAGCAAAGTTAGAAAACTAACTAGCTTCTCAAAGCAGTGCAAAGTACCGAAACAAGAAGAACTTCACAATGTCAAGATTAATAGCCCACTACACCATCGACCTACACTCCCCACTTATGCCCAACATTCTAATTGGAATCAAATCTTTATCAAGAAAAAACCAAACAAAACATTCCAAAACATATTAAGAATTTTCAAAACTTCACCTGCCATTAAATTCATTTAATATGTTTTACGGCATGAAAGCTGTATAAATGATGATATAGCAATAATTGTTTACATTATTAGAAAGAAATATTTATTATTAAATTTTAGAGCTCTTACGATGGCAATTAAATTGATAAATTAACTCTCACATTTATTTCAAAAAAGTCCTTTCTCCTATTTTCTCAAAAGCATTTGTAAATATGTCATTTTTTTTTGTAAATATGAAAATCGAGAAAATTACTTTAACTGTTATTACTAAAAATGAGAAGGTGTGACCATTACCTTGACCCAAGTCTTTTAGTTTTGCTGCTATCTTTTTTTCACGTCGTTTCTTCATCACAGCTTCTGGATTTGATATTGTTCGTGTAAATGTTGTTGGCGGCAATGCTTTGTACAATTCCTCAGCTGCACATAACTTTGGTTCTTGAGATATCAGAGCTAAAAATCGTCTTTAAAGCAAAATTATCATTAAAGTAAAGCTCACCCTTGAATTTTGGTGAGTTTGATTTGAATTCTATGCATATGAAACTACATATGAAGTTAGGCTCACGAAAAATTAAGATTCATGTTTGGTGGACTCGCACTACTCCATACAACTAAAATCAAATACTTGGAGCCACTGCCTTGTTGTAAATAATATATTATCACTTTGTTTGTTTATGCAACTTATTCTTCATCTACATTTGTTATTGAATCAACATTTTCAGGCTTAAGAAATACAATGACAATAAATCAACTTAGACTTCAATTATTTTCAAAAATAAATATTTTGCTATTTCGATTTTTAAAAATTACACTAGATAATAAACGGCAAATGAAAAAACCTCTTTGATGTTTTTTTTTCAATTCTTTTTCTTCTTTCTTGGAAAACCGTTTTTGATTACCATTTAAGGTAATAATAGAACTCTAAAACATTTAACTCAAAATAAATGCATGAAAAAAAATTATTCATTCTTCGTGGGCTAAAAATGAACTAAAATACTCCTCTAAAATATGGGAAACAAATTTTTTGCAACAACCTTGATAGTATTGTTTTTAGGATGAGTCCTTAGCAAAAATCGTCCCTCCCGATCGTCTTTGTGCCAGTTTAACTGTACAAGTAATGGTTTTTCATTGGGTGCTAAACATCGCTCTTCGCCATTTTCATGTACTTCCCACAATGTATAATCAGGATCACTGAGCCTTAAAAACCTATTTCATTCTTTTTATCTAAATTAAAATACCTAGCGAAAAAAAAAATTTGCTTATATATCACTGAAAATACCAGCATTATATAACTCACATTTTTAAATCAGGATGGAATTTGTCAACCAAAGCATTTATGACCGCTCGAGTCGTTGCCGTACTAGAAATACGAATACATTTTGTGGATACTTTGTCTTTTGATTCTTGGAAATAAAATCGCATCACACCATGTATTTCAAGATCCTGAAAACTTTTAAAAAATCAATCAATGTGAAATGAAAAAATGAAGTCATGCTTTATGTTTCAAGTCAAATTATGTACTAGTAGCCACAAATAAAAGACAAAACGAGCTGGCTATCATTAACGACATTTTCTATTAAAAAAAATTTACTATAAATGCTAGTTTGCAAAGCTTATTAATATAAATTTCATAAAATATATGTAGATTTGTGCAGATTTTATAAAATAACGAACACACATAAAAAGTGAAATAACACTGAATACTGAGACTTCAACTAATATATTTGCTAAAATTAGTCTAACTGTTTACATTATATTGTTAGTAAACTACAATATTTTGTTTCATGAAGTCTCAGTATTCAGTGTTATTTCACAACAACTTTTTCAGTTATAAAATTAAACTAATTACTTCAGTTGGATAGCTTAGATTAAATAAGTCAAGTCTATTTTCATTCCATTGATTAACTAGCTGCCTAAGCTGTTCCCGCTCAATTTGCCTGGCCAGTTGAGGCCTGTTTGACATTCCCACACCTGAGAATAGTTTTTTTTTTCCTGAAATGCAAAACTGTTTTCTAAATTAATTCTTTTATTAAACGTTTAACCAATCATCGCTTTCTTTTAAAAATGTCAGAATATCGGTCATTAAATGGTCTATAATTGTCGAACAAAGATTACAATCAAGTTTTATAAACTTTTTAATTAGTATGTATATTGCACTACCAAAAACAAATTTTAAATACAAATTAAAATTGATTTGGTCTTAACTATTAAGTAATGAATAAGACATATTAGAAGCAGCAACAATAGGCGATTATTAAAACAATAATATCGAACAAGCTGAGGAGATTTAAAAAACTGCTGGTAAGTACTGCAATAAGAGCTTGCAATTAATTTACTATCAATAATTACCTTACAAGAATCTTCAACATGATCTATTTGAAAACTGACTGCCAGAAAAAAAAATATTATGTACCATAACAAAAATCCTAATATTTTAAATCACTTTAAATAATATGATATTTATATGAACACTAAAACTCATTAATAGTTATTTTGAGACAAAAAAATGCACGGACTAGTGCTAAGGTGAATATATTCGACCACAATAGGTACAGGTCATCTCGAGTTGTGATCGATACCTACAACAAGGTCAGACACACACACACACACGTATTTTACTGCATAGAACTAAATTACTTAACTTTATCAGTAAACATGAACATCAAGAAATGAAACTGAAAGATTAGCTCCGAACTTCAAAAGGGATTTATCTGATAATTTCATGTACCGTGTGCGGTCCGTTAAAAATAAACCAACATAAAAATATCATCATTTGTAACAAGCATTATAAATTTTATATATTTATATACAATGCATATATTTAGTAAATTTGGGAAATTCACAGGATGGATATGATTGGACTTTTTAATTTTTTGCTAATGCTATTTCATATTAAAAGTTTGGACTAATGTTTTTTTATTTCATGTATTTCTTGTTTCATATTCCTGTCATTCATTGAGCACTTTTGTTAATGACATAATTTGAGGTAGTAATTTGTCTAACTTCTTTTAAAGATATTTTATCTTTTTTTATATCTCCATCAAATTTTTTTAATTTTTCAATTTTTTTAAAATTTAAAAAAATTTTTTTGATTTTAGATTTTTTTCGATTTTTTATTTTACTTGTTTGTTTTTAACGACTTTGATTTACATTTCATTACATCGCCATTTATCCATAATTTATCTTCAGATTGTTTAAATTTTTAGTCACTAAACTTTCCCTTGTCCATTCGTTAAGTAGTAATGGAGGGGAAATGAAAATAAACAAAGTATCCATAGTTAATACACTATTTTTAGTTGCATTTTTAGATTAAAATATATTTAATCCTAATAAATCTACATTTTAAAGTTGAAGTAATTGTTTCTTGATGACCGTTTATTATTTATTTAGTAATTATGATAATAGAAATCTATTTCTCGATACAAAGTTCATATTATTAATGTAAGTTTTCAATTTTAGACTTGTAATTACACTTAATAGTTTTAAGATAAAATGGAACAAAGCGAAATGGTAATTGATAATGATTCAAATGGAGTTCGTTACGTTGTAATCGATGAAAACTTAGAAAGTGATAGAGCATCCAATAGCTATTCATTTACAGTACTTGGTTCAACAGTTTTTGATCACAATTTATCGCCATCGCAAGACCTACATCATGATCTTCAGCAACAGCAACAGCAACAGCCAACAGTTCCACTCAGTTATGAGTGTACTCTTCAAAATGGTATTTAATCACTCTCTTGTGTAAAAGTTATATAAAAATTAATTTTTTTTGTAGATGAATAAATTTCAAAGCTATCACTCTTTTATAAGTTGGCGCATCTACAAGATGTCTTAAATGTAAAATTTAAAAGTAATTATTTTGCTTGTGTAAATAAAACAAAATTGTATGTGAGCTTCAGTTATATATATTTATAGAGTTTCTCTGTTGAAATTAGCTTGATATCGGGAAGCTTAGTCAACTCAGATGTCAGATGTCATATCTTACTCGTTAAAAGCTATAAAAATGCTCACAGTTATTTTTTTTATACAATGCAAAATTTGCAGCTCCAATTTTACCTTAACCTTAGCTCAAATACTTGATCACATATTTTTTCTACCTTGCCAAAATAATTCTCAGTAAACTAAAGCAAAATTCTTTCTTTTTTTTGATAACTATACAACATTTTTAAGATTAATGTATGATCATGTTTTCTTAGCCGGCAATTTCTTTGATATGTTCAAACTGATTCAAAAATTCATTTTCTTAGCTTCATCGAGTACTTGGATGGACGATTCATTCAGTATGCCAATTTCACAGAATGTTAGTTTATTTGCTGAAAGCTGTATTTTTTCTTATATTGAATACATTAAAAAAGCTTCAATTGCGCTGGCTACATTTTTTAAAAAGTCGAAGACCGCGAGTCAGAATTGTTATTATATGTAGATTTGTTCATCAATTTATTTTAGATAGTGATATTTTAATTTCAATCAATAGCTTCTAGACACAACTGCAAGATGTTAAGTAGCTTATTTTTCTTCATTTTTACATTACTTTCTAAAAAGGAATATTTTATGGTACGAAAAATGATTTTTATATAATCCTAGATTTCACTTCCGAATAGCTAACATCATTCACTATTATATTTATAATTGTTTTTTACTACATAATGATAATTACTTACTACTATAGCGTTTTGTAGACTCGTTATTTGGCTCGATGCGGTACTTGTGATGCACTCTTCAATGCGCAAGAATATATAAATCACACCAAAGTTTGCAAACTAGAAAAAAATTACAGGTATCTATAGCTTACTTTTTCAATACTATTTCCTTTTACTGCGGATTATCATCATGAAGCAATATAGATTTCTATAAATTCTGCGTTATTTTTTACTCTTCAGTCTTAAAACTTTTTTCATTTTTTTCCAGATGTAATATGTGCGAGAAGGAATATAATAAAGAGCATAATTTAAAGTTACACCATCTTGGACAACATGATAAAGCGAAGGTTGAAAATAATAAGTATGTTTGTTCGCTATGCCCCAAGAAGTATTCTAGATTAGCTGCTTATTATGCTCATTTACAAATTCATGGACTGAATGATTCTCTTCTTTGTTCATTTTGCAAAGAAGAGTTCGATTTTCAGGTAAATCATTTCAGATTTCTGTTCGTGAGATAAATATACAAGTGTCGATGAACTTTAAAGATAATAAGATTTTCAAACAGTCACTTTGATATTTAGCATACAAATTGTCAAAATGCTTCTTAGTTTTTGCAGTTTAAAATGTCTCTCCCACTGTTTTTGCATGAAATCGGAGAATTATTACATTTTATATATTTGGTTGTACCAAAATCTGTAGTTTTTAGGCACTTTTAAACAAACATTTACGTCTGCAACACTATTATCCTCGACTGGAAGAAGTTTCTACTGTTGAAATATGTGAAAAATGTGGTATTGCTATGTTGAGCAAAGAATCAATGAGTGAACATGAGCAGATGCATCGAAAGATTAAGTGACGTTTTTTTTAACCCGTTCCGGAATGTCTGAATTTAATGAAATAATTTTTTTGATGCAATCGACAGTTGGTAAATTTTTTAAAAATTGAGATCTTCGGAATAGCTAAAAATTTTAATTATTTTGGCGTTATCTTCTGAATTAGAGATAATCAGGATAGTGGAACTTTCATTAGATGTTAATGCGAAATACATTTTAAGATTGGCTGATATAAAACGCAGCATTCAAAAATTCTGTTGAATTATGTTATTACCCTTAACATTTATTTAAGAATAATTTTCAATTAAGATTGATTCTATGAAGTTTTGTCTATTTCAGTAAAACAATGAAAAGAAGCAAGAGAAAACGGGAAACACATCATGCTGACGCAGCTCATAAATGTGAAGTTTGTGGCAAGACTTTTAGAAAAAATTTCGAATTGATTCGGCATTATGTTGTTCATACAAGTGCGTTCAGCAACAAGTTTCAAGTTTAATTTTTTTTTTTTATAAATTTCAAATTTGAGATGCTTTAAAATTATATGAACGGAAAAATAACATCGCAGTCATTAACTACTTCTGATTATTTTATTTTGAGTAAACTGTGTGTCGCATGAGTAGTTGGCAGCTAATGCTAAATTTTAAAATAAGTAATAGTTTCTTGATGCAGTGTTTTCGATACATCTCATTTGAATATAATGTCTTATACAAGCATTTTTTATGTATGAATGATAATTATTATTTCTTAATATGTTGGTGATGTTTCAGGAGAACGCCGATTCACGTGTGAAATTTGCGGAAAACGATTTTCGCAAAAAGCTTCATTAAGCCAGCATATGTTGATGCACAGCTCTTCAACTGCAAGGAGTCATAAATGTACACTTTGTGAAGCGACCTTTTCACAGGCAAATTTTTTCAATCCTTTGTTGGGTTAGTCAGTATGAGATTTTTTTTCAAATCTGTAGATTCTTCAAATCATTTATGTGTAAGTTAAGTAATTTAAAATTCTTAGTAACGTAATCTGTCATAAATTAAAGACTTAAAACGGGGATGAATTTGTTTATTTTAAAATTAAAAGTAATTAAGCATGTTTTGTTCGAAAATAATTAGAGAAATCGAAAGTTATCAAATTAAAAAAAAATTATGAAGAATATTTCTGAAAAAATTTGCTTAGATATAGATTATATATTATTTTTCACTTTTTTTCTAGTTTTTAGCAACAATTCATTTTTAAGTTTTTCGTAAAATTTGAGCATAACATGTTTTTCATTTAATTCCTATCCTGGGTTGTATTTTTTTTCACGCTTCCAAATCTTGCTTTTGATTTTGTTCCAAGAATTCTAATTCTAACGGTTGTCATAATACTAATAACTCGTCCAGAATTAGCAGTTTTAATTACCTTGAAGTCATTGTTTTTCAGGCTGGAAATTTACGTCGGCATGTGAAACTTTTACATCCACCAGATGCCACATCTCGTACAGTTTTTCGTTGTCCAGAATGCTCTTGTGTGTTCAGTTCGGTGCAGCCACTTCAAGTACATGTGAGAAAACGACATCCAGAACAAGGTCAGTTGAATTTCTTAAAACTGTGCTATATATTTGTTAGATAAGAAGAATACTGAGACAAATAAAGCTGAAATCAACCTCCTTTTATAGCATTTAAATCAGTTTTCTAAAGAATTATTTTAAATGTCTTTTCAGTTGTAGAAAATACAACAGTTCCAGATGAAGAACCTACTGATTTACAGGTATCTTGTCAACTTTACATTGACACCCATTCCTTATTGAGACATTTAATACTTCCAAAAATTCGATATCTTTTCAAATTTTGCAATCTCAGTATCCAATATTGACGTTCTTCTTATAATTTAAAAGGCTTTTTGAGTCATACTTGTCAAATCCAATAATGGCTGTTGTTAGCTTGTTATAAAAACTTAAGAAGGAAAATAAGCGACGTAAACTCGTTTGTTGCTGTATGTGTGGAAAAGGTTTTGGAAAATCATCTGATTTGTTACGTCATTATCGAATACATAGTGGAGAAAGACCATTTTTATGTAATCGATGTGGTCGAGATTTTAATTTGAAATCATCACTGAAGTTACATATGGATAGCCATGTACGAGCTGACCATCCAGATAATTATTATACATGTGCTCGATGTCCGGTGTGTATGAAACAGGCAAGCAGAATTTTTTGTTTCGTTTTTACATGTATGAGCTTCAGAGGCGGAAAAAAGTACAAATTAAAATCATATTGTATATATATATCATTTACTATGCTACTTTTAGTTAGCTTCGACTCCATCTTTACGTCGACACCTGAAGATCCATGAAAAACCCTTGGAGCATTGTGGAGTGTGCTCGCAAGTAAATGAGTTTAAGTTTTGCCTAGATAATTTGTTAGCTATAAAATCGGTATCATATCTTATTGTTTTGGGTGCATAAATTTGGTGACTTATCACCATTTTTACTTTGCTTACCAATGGTAATTTATGTGTAAAATACTCTCGTTTATAAATTCCGTTTCTCTCTATGCTTAAAAAATATTTCGACAATGATATGTTGTACAAATGTATGCTTCTTTTTAGATTTTTCTTAGTAAAAAAGCATTGGAACAACATCAAATAGCTTGTTTAACTGCTAATGCTGAAGTTGGATCGTCAGGAAGCCTACTCGAACTGTTGCCACCGACAGAAAGTGTCAGTGTAAGCCGTGAACCAGAACCTAGACCGTATAAATGTCGCACTTGCACTGCATCATTTTCTACACTCCGATGTTTGAAAGAACATATTAACCGGCACACAGGCATCAAACCGCATATTTGTCGTTTATGCTACAAGTCATTTTATTCTTTAGGTGCAGGCCTAGTAATTTATCAGCCTTCATCATGTTATCTAATTCCAATATTTGCTAATATGAAGTTATTATGCCGTGACACTTTTTCATTATCATATTTAGAAGGAAATATATATGCAGTTAAAAGAAATCATCATAATATTGTAGACTAAAGAGATAATTAAATCTTGAACACAACAGTTTTGTTATTTTATTGCTTTTTTGACATAAAGTTTCCGTTTAGAAATAGTTCTTCAGCCCAGTTAAAGTGTCACAGTGGAATACATACTAATAAACGGCTCTTCAAATGTTCAAATTGTGATCAAGCGTTCAGACGACATGCTCAGTTAAAGGCGCACACTAATAAATATCATTCGCGACCCAAAAGTTTAGTCAATTTTGTAAGTCTCTTGCTGTTTCGAATATTTGCTTTATTACTGAGCAACATATGTTTAAGATAATAAAACTAATTTGGTGATTCACCTGAGGTATCAAAAATATGTAAATCAAGTCTTATTATATCTGTTATAATATATTCTAGGAATCATTTTCATGGCCAGCCGACAATTTGTTTAGCAAAAGTGTGCAAGAAGATAATGTAAACTTCAGTGAAAATGATCTTACTGATTTCGATTTCGCAACGTTGGATAGTAGCTCGAAGCAGTTGGATATTGGAAATTCACCTGAGGTTTTGAAATATCTTTATTCTTTTCCTGCTTACCATATGAAAGTATGCAGAAATGTTATAATTTACGATAATTATATAGCACAAAATGTTATTGACAATAGTTATATATATCTTTACAGTTCAAAAATGTTTAGACAGGTCACTTCATCGAAAATGAATAAAATAGTCGGTTCTAGATTTAAAATATTCATTTAACTGTTTACTTCAGCCATCATACATGAGCAGTTACCTCCTGTCTCAAAACTGTGATCTTGTGAATAACATGGCTTTAGAAAAATCTCAAGAAACTCGTTGTCCAGTGTGTTTTTTCAGTTTTAATTCAGGTATTCATGTCTTTGGTATTTCTTTATTTTTGACAGAAATCGTATGCTATACTTCAAAATATATCTTTTAGACACAACACTAGTTACTCATTTATATAATATGGCTTCTGATCCTCTACACAGTCTTCCTATTTTGGCATGTAACCATTGCACGAAAACTTTTCCTGGATCAGTGGGCCTTGCAGACCATTTGCAGTCATTCCACTCTTCGGTTAATTTTTCTCATGGTTTTTCGCAAGAAACGAACTATCAGTTATAGCTTTTATATTTATTCTTCGTCATGGTTCTATGAAGAATATCTCAAAATTTATTTCGTTGTGCAATCGATTTTAAAGTTATTCTTTCTACACCAAATTTTTTTTAGTTGCTTGCTGTACTTTTGCTTTTATAATCTTTTTGCTTTAATAGATAGAGATATATTTCATTTTTCTGTTTAGATCGTTTCATTATGCAAAAAATTTCCAGAATCGTCATGAACAACAAACTTTCACTTGCAATTCAAATTTAATGGCCAAAGATGATCAGGTCTTGTTATTCCGTTGACATAATCTCTGGATTATATGCTATTCATAATTCTTTTCCTCATCATATTATTACATCTCTTCTATACCAAGAAATGTTGAACTTCAAATTTTTTGCAGAACCCAAAATAACAGCCATCACAAATAGTGTTAGCACTGAACAAGAAACGTTTTAGAATTTTTCTATTTCAGAAGACATTTTAATTGGCTCACAAAATATGTGCAATTTTTTAGCGAACACATGCTTGTGATGTTTGTGATCGACGATTCAAAAAGCCATCAGATTTGGTTCGACATAAGAGAATTCATACAGGTAATAATAAACTGGCACAAACTTTTTGGTAAAAAGTTTTAATTGTTTATGCAGAGAATGAAAGAAATAATTTTTGTAGCAATCTGGATTTATAAATTATCAAAATATTCTTAAAAGAAGTTTTGCAATTCAGGTGAGAAACCGTTTTCGTGTGGAATATGTGACCGGTCTTTTCGTGTTAAATCAACTTTGTATCAGCATTTGAAAATACACGAGGATATGGGTAATGCTCGAGAAATGTGTACTGTGTGTAAACGATGTTATTGTTCACTGTCGGCCTTACGGCAGCATCTTTATATAGCACATGCAGAAGAAAAGTCATTCAAGTGTTCGCATGAAACGTGTAACGAAAGATTCAAGTTAGTTTTTACTATTCATTTTTGTTCATTTTGTCTCCTAATTTTTGCTAAGGAATTGATATTTTACGCATGCATACATATAGGACTTCTCGTAGTCGTGATGCTCACGTGAGACAATTTCATTCTTACGGGCCAGTTGAAGACATTAGTAATGTTCCAACTTCACTAAGCACTGATGCTCAGTTTCGGGAGACAGCTGCTCAACTTGCACCTGATCCGAAAAATTCCGATTTTGTGCAGCCATCATTTAATTCTGCTTTCTCACGTACTGTGAATAAGGTTTGTTGCAACAATTCATTGTGACATTTTTTCAAAAAACTTTTGTTTTTATAATTAAATTATGTAAATATTTGATTCCACTGCAGGACATAATTAGTACAGCGACGCATCTTATCTTAAGGTTACAACCACATCTAAATTCACATACTATTGAAGTGACGATTAATGTTGTTTCGTAAGTTTTTTTTTGTTGATTGGATGTTTTTGCTTAAAGTTACTCGCAATTTTTAACAATTGGAATAAATTTCGCTCAAGTAAGAAATTAATTTTAAAATCTTGTATTAAATCTTGTGAAATTTTAACAATTTGGTTCAGTGTTAACGATATCAGTGAAATAAATAATTCTGATGCGATTATTATCCCAATGCAAATACTACGGTCTTTATCTCCGGAAACTGTTATGCTTCGCATTGCTGTTTCTTATCCATTTTTAAATGCTGGGTCGTTTATGATCGTTGATTCACAGCGCATGTTTTCTCTTCTCGCTACAAAAGAAGTAATTATTACAAACACCAGTTTGCGTTATTCTAAATCTAAAAAATATTGCATAGCTTTTCATTACAAATTGAATAATGATTAAGCAGTAAATCATATGTGTATTATAGTTAGCTTATTTACATTAATTGTAGATGGATACAATACTAGTGCCTCTAAATGCATCTATCGAGATGACCAATTTGCCATTATGTTTATACACAACTGAGCGAGTTTTTGATTCATTGGCCCAACCATCTACGTTCGTATCCAACTGTGTTGTTTGTAATGAAAATTTCACGAGCCAGGAAGAAAGTGATGCACACTTTAGTAGTGCAGATCATGAAACCGCACAGGTGAATTATAACTGTCAATAAATATAAAGAATACAGTTTCAGGAAGTGTTGTTGTGATTATAATTGTAACTCGTAAGTGAGTGTAATTCTGTTTTAGTTCTTCTCCCTGTCACAGTTAACTCGTCATTTGGACCCAACGGCATCCGTTAGCACCGATGAATTCCAGCCGTTTATGTGAGTTTTGTTTCCAAAATCAAGTACTTATTTACGTGCAAAGTATTATGTGCTCTGAAATGATGTAATGACATCGACTCTAATATTAGATACCATAAAAAATTATTACTTTCATTAAATTTCAATTATTGAAATGTTTCAGGACGAAAACAGAAGTGTGTAAACTTTGTCTAGGGCATTTTCAAGATCGAGAAAGCTTATTAGCACATATTCGTCGAGAACATGAACGTGACAGTATTGATTTGCTCGATCGTAATGACTTGTTAACCCGCTGCCGTACGTTAAATTGATCAGTCTTAAAAACTCTATGACTTTAAGAGTGTATCTATTATTAAGTACCTTGTACTTTATATTCATTGTATCTCTGGTATATTAAGGATAGGAAGTTTGTTATCGTTATTGATGTTGGTTGGGATGTTTGTTTCTCATTGCACAAACAAATGACACTTGTAATTACAAATTATAAATATTGAAATTCTCTTGTTCGATAGATTAAACTTCACAGTTGTAAATATTATTTTGGACGGCAAACCTAATGCATATGACATGACATTAAATGGCATGAAAATATCCTTTCATGATCACAATTCAGCTTAGTTGATTTATTGATCGTCAGTGTAAATATTTTGTATTAAGTTTTTGCTTTCAGTAATCAATCTAATAAGTTATTTTTACATCATTTTAGTTGCGTGGAAATTTAGTGAAAAAATTATGATGTATGGAAGCAGTTGAGAAGGTAAGTCAAATTAAGTGAAATAGTATTTCTGGTAGACAATACGAATGATTGTACAGGTATAACATTTTATGATTTACAATGCTACTTGCAATTATGGCATGTTGATGAATTTGTTGAAGAAACATGCATAGTTCTGTGTCATCAGTATTGTAATCAAGTTCTCATAATTTGTCGAGTTTGTACGTCCAGAAACCAGTCCGAAATCGTTTCACTTATTCTGTTCAAACATGAACCAGATGATGAAAAAAATTTTTTTGTACTTCTTCATTTCTTATGTAATTTATTTTTAATCAAAAATTAGGACAAATTTAGATATGGAGTATATTTCTAAAATGAGCAAAAATTTGAATGTTGCAAAAAATTGTCATTCCATTAAATGTCACACTGTTTGAGGATAGACATTTCATTTGCATCTATCTTTTATCAAAATCTGGCTGTTAAATAAAATCAGTGAAGAAGGAAGATTCTAAATTCTAACAAATTGTCAGAAGCGAATTCTGGATAGTTTGGCACCTATCAGTTTGGCATACTTCTATTTTAAACGCTAGAATCATTTTGGCTTGATTCGCAAAGAATTCTTGTCTAATACAAATCAAAATATATTCTCTATATTTATTTTGGCAAATGGTAGAGATAACTCAATCTGATATACAATGAAAGTTTAGAACCAAAATAGAAATGTATAACAAGTTCTACATTAAAATGCAAAAATGTACTATAAACAAAGAACAAAAAATGATGGTAAGGAAATGATTACAGACTATTGATGAGTCTAGAAAAAGGCAAAAGAATTTAGATTCATAAGTTTATAAGCATCAAAAAGTAGAAAGATAACGGTATACATGCATGACAATAAATAAAGCCGATGGATTTCCATGTTGCACTGATTGCTTAAGTAAACATTTTAAGTGTTACTATTAGCTTATTAATTTGATTAAAAAAATTAAAATTAAAATGATTCCCTTCTATCTCTATTAATATGTTCTATTTTCCAACTTGTAATTTTACATAAGTTGGAAAATGTTGCAGATTGCAGCATATTTCTGCTTATGATCACAAATCAAATAATCAACCCATTTTTGTGATTTTACTAAATTTCCATCATATATAAATATAATAAGATTCCAATCCAAAATTGGGCAAGTTTTAAACATGAAGAATAGAGGGAAAAGTTGAAACGAAAGCATTAAAATTTACTATTTGCATTTAACGATCAAATTATAATAAACGATTCGGCACTACCCGATTAACTTTCTTCACAACAAAATATATTACGTGAAAAAATCATTCAAAGAATTAATAAACTTTATAATTATCAAAACAGTTGCGATAATTTTCGCAATTATAAAAAAATTTTTATTGTTGCAGAAGTTTTCTGCATATATTTCAATTACAAAATTTCAACAGGCAATTTGACTTATGTAACTATTAGACAACTGCTAAAATAAATTGAAACAAACAATATAAAATTCAAACTTCTAATATACATATTCATGTTTTAACGGTTAAACATTTAAACAGCACTTAATTTATAACTTGACCACAGTACACGGGCAAGCGATTAATACTTCCACTTTGATACGGATCTCTGTTATCATTAATTTAAATTATTTGTTCTGGGAGGATAGACTGGCTGCGGTGGGAGGAAAGCACCACTATGTTGTTCAGTATTGCTAAAATTATTTTAGTTAATTGAAAAAACCAAAAAAAATTTATACAAAAATTATTTTGAAAATTTCTTCCTGAGAATTAGTAAGAATTTGAGTTGAGTTTACCATTACCACATGACAGCTTAATAGTGAGAGCACAAGAACCGAAAAACGATTACTATTTACTCCTGTCCACAACACATGTCTACTAAGTAATCATGCAGTCTAGCAAAAAAGTATTCTTATTTGAGTTTAGGAAAGAAGAACTTCAATAACATCATAATTTGGTATTTGAGCTAAATATTTTGGATATAATGCCATGTATTCTGACTTTTCTTACATTCAAAAAACTAAATCTCTCGATGATATCAAACTCTAATAATCAAAGGTCTGAACTAGAATAAATCAGAAATACAGATCTTAATATAATTTCAAAATAAATCATCATAATTAAAAAATTTTGATACTTTTTAATAACATTTATGAAAATCTAAGAAAGAACTAAAGAATTATTCTTACTCTTTACTATACTTATACTACTAAATCATAATATATTATAAAGAAAACTTAGATGGGATGTAGTAGCACAGAATATATTCACTACATTGCGGCACACTTATGTTAGTGTATTGGTATAGATAAGATCTGATCATATCAGTTATTGCTATCTACTTTCGATCAATCATTTCTTTATCAATTCAAGACTTACTATAATTTCTGTCACTTTTAGTCTTTGATTTCTGATCAAATTGTTTTTAAATGACGACTAAAGTGCTTTTTTATGAGATTTATAAGTAAGATATTCTGTTATAATTTTTATACCTGCAAATTATGTTGTTAATTCCCTAATTCCTACGTCATTATCTAAATCCTTTTCTCATTTTTATGTCATTATTATTCCTGAATGTTACGTACTTATTTAATCTTATCAAAATTTATTTTGAATTAAAAGATAAACAATTTGTAACGTACCCCTCTATAGATGACATAACAGTTCCTTCCTCTTCTCTTTTTGTGCTTCCCAATTTCGGATTTAAGTTCCGTTGACGTACCTAAAAAATATCGCAATCGTTATAAGTCATCAAAACATAATTTTTATAAAAAATTATAATTTTAATTTTTTTTACAATTATAATTTAATTATTCATTTTATTCAAATGATTTTTCTGTATTAATACGCAGGTCAGAATCAACAAATTTGATGATATAATTGTTATAAACTGCAAATTTTGATTTTTTTTGCCAAGTATAATTAGAAAATAAATAAAATTTAACTATTTTTCCTGCTTCAAAATAAAATATTACGCAAAACTGATTGTAATAAAACAAAGAACGAAAAAAAATGACACTTTTTGCGGTTATCTCTCGAAAAAGTGAAGTAAAATCGCAAGAAATTTACCTTCCGAAGTAAAAATTAGACAAAAGTGTTATTTTAGGTTTTAAAAAAGAGTGCAATGTGAGTAATCTTCATGACTTGTGAGAATATGAAAAATTTTCTTCTAAAACAAATTTGAGATGAAAAATTGTAAAACTTTAGCTTAAACTCATAGCAAAATTTATACACTAATTATTTTGGCTTAAAAAAATACAAAGCTTTAAGATTACTTGTTCCTCTAGTCCTGTAATCACAGCGACGGCTTGGTGTAGTACGCCTAATTTGGTTTGGGTTTTATCAGGTCCTTGTTGTAAGTGTTGGGCACACATTCGGCCCAATTCTTTAAAAGCCATGTTTATATCCTTGACCCTTATTCTGCAAATACATATTATGGATAAATTAATAAACAATTTAAGTTACACTAAAATAATTAAACTGTTTGCAAATATTTTTTCTAATGAGTAATTGGCTTTATCTTTTCAGAGTGCAAAGAAGAAAATTCAGCATAAAGTAAAAAATTGAATTAGTCTTTAGCTAGTTTAGCAATTTGATTTTAATCAATGTACAGTATAAAAATTTATTTACCAGTAGCATAGACAAATTTATACTTTTAAATAAGAAGCAGTTAGAAAATTAATAAGAAATTTAAAATGAATTAAACGCTGAGTAATGCGTTTTTTTCACTACTTAGCTGTAAATGATTTTAGAACAAAGAATTGGCATAATTACATATTGTAAATTTCGATCACAAACGGTCAATTATTAATTTTTTTTAAAACTGCTAAATATTAATCATAATAGTATATCAAAGAATAAACAAACCTTTCACGAGCATTGTTAGCACTACGGCGATCCGCTTCTCGATCATCGTTGGAACGATTATCATCGTCAGAATCCACAACCTTTATGCTTTTCGAACGTTTTTTGTTACCAACTCGTACACTGTTCATAGGAACAGAATTTACAGTTGACGTAGTAGAGGTTGCGGATGGAATACCATTTATAGCAGCAACAGGACCACCATTCAATGCAGTACCATAATCAAAGTGCTCACGTGAGACAGGTATCATACCAACACCTGGTACCATATCTGGTCGTATGGTAGCTGCACCATTCACTTGTGGTATAGCTAAAATTTTGGCTGATTACTATTATTTAAATGCATTTATATACAACTCAGCTTATGTGCTTTGTATTGATGTCAAATTTTGACTTGTATAAAATAAAATTAAATACTAAATCAAAGTTAGTACCAAAAACAACATACCATTATAATGATCTATGGTGTGTGGTATTAATGGCGCACCCATGTGAACACTTCTTGAGTCATCGATATGAGCGCCAGGGTTCTAAAATTATTACATGTTTATAGTAGTATTAAACAGTACCAGATGAATAATAAAACTATCAGTTTTTATAAATGTTAACATCATGAGTTGTAAAAAAAATAGTTCTATAATTATTTGACAAGCAATTGCATATTGTAAAAAAGCAAGAATCTGAACAGATGTGTTAAAATGTATTCACCAAACATAAATATGTGCTAAATAGGGTCAAAATTAAGTGCTAAATAAGGTCAAAATTGACGAACACTTCTAATCTTCACAAAATAAGGTAAAAGTGAGCAATAAAACAAAAATAAAAGTCCAACTTCTTATAGATTAAATAAAATTTTCTCATCTGAAGTTAATCACCGAAAATCTTTCTCATTCTATAATTCAATCTTAAACCCGCATAGTTTTACGTAGTTTATACATGTATTTATTTTTTTACAAAGTGTTTATAATTACCAAAGTTACAAGAAAATCAGCAAACTCAGCAATGAAAAGAAACTTAACGTATATTGATATGCAAAGAACAATGTTATAAGTTTATTTTCAAAACTACATTTCATGATTGTAATTACAATGATTTGAGTATAATTATTATAGTCTAAATTAGTAACAACCACCAAATTTTAGACATTTTTTAATAATTACCGCTTAAATGTGAAGTCAGAGAAATACAAATGCATTCGGATGACAACTAATCACTGAAGTTTTTGCTTACTTTATAGCAGAAAGTTTAATAATTTTTGTCATTTTATATCCAAATTTTTTTTTACACAGTTTTTTTGTATTCTGATAGAATGAAAGTTCATCTTTTCCCATATATAATATCAGTTGAAAGGGCAAACTACAGAAGTAATAACAATGATAATGCTAATAACAACAATTAACAATTATTTTAGTTGCTATAAGATTACATTTTATTTAACTAATTATCTTCGGTTAGAGTCATTTTCTGAGCAATTGACAAAATCTGGAAGCAGTCAAAATGCATTTTATGCCCATTGGACCAGAATATATGGATGAATAAAGAATTTTTTCTTGCTGAATTGGCTGAAAATGAGTTCTCGAAATGTCATAAATGAAGAACAGATGTTTGTCTTATCAGAAAGTTACCCAACTTGAAGGTACCTTAGCTTACCTTACCTTACCTTACCATATACAATGAGTACAAACGATAGGTATGAATTTAAGAAACTGAAAGGTTAGTAAATGTAAAAGTAAAAGCAGAGTGAAAATAGCTATACTGTCATTAAGATGAAACAAATAAAATCAAAACTTTTTTGCACAACAAAAAAGACCATGAAAATAATATAAATTGCATACTGTTACTTTCAGAAATTGGCAGATGAAAAAAATTAAAGAAAAAACAGATCTTACGCATGCAAAAACTTCACATTGCTCACTCTAAACAATATTTTAATCCTAAAATCTTTCTGAATAAATTTGCAAAATACTTTATGACACAATGTCACTCTTTCTAAATAGTATTTTTTCTACGAAGTTTTTTACATATAAAAAATTTTAACAGCTATGTCAAATAAGAAAAACTTTGAATTTGAGAGTTTACATTGGTAATAGTAGAGCATTGTGCATTTAACTGTAAAATCTAATGTGTAATAATATGTACTTTCTTATTTATACATTTGGGTATCGTTATTTTCCATATACAGTGAATAATAATACTATTTGTATTAATATTATATTCATTGATATTCTGTAAAAAATGCTATACAAGAATAGTACTACTATTTTTTCCCTCAATTTCGAATTTTGTAATTTGCATAATGGTTTTATTACAAGTGATGAAGTAGTAGTAGTTTCTAAGTATTCAAGAAAAGATTTTAGGATGTTGCGAAGAATAAATACAGGCAATGCCACCTGCCGAGTCAAGCAAGCTGTTAACAAATACACAAACAAGCCATTATCGCCTTGCAAAGGTTATCAAACTCCCTTAATTTGCATAAACATCAAATGAAAAAGCGGCGAGTAATTTAAATTGTAAACGTTTGGTTTGTTGCAATAAACTAAAGATGCAAATATATACAAATAAATACATTCTTAAATACATGCAAAATGATTACAAAAAAATTAGCGAAGCAAAGAAATTGTTATTAAATAATAAACTATTTACGTGCATTTGCTTGTACAAATAAATTTTGATTTTGTGAATTATATTTACAAATATTTGTTTGTTTATTACTGAAAAACAAAAAGAAAGTAAGGATTAGGCAAGTGTTACGCTTTCAACCTGTAATGAATGCGGGTAGAAGTGCAGTGGTGCGGAGACATCTTCCTGGCGTATCATATCAGTAGGAGTGCAGCCTAGAAAAGCGTTCGACAGGCATTCTGGTGAGTGCTTTCCATCTGCTGCGAACTGTAAATATCATTCAATTACAAAATTACAGATTTATGATTTTTTTTTTCATAAGCAGTTGAGTAGAAAGAGCTCAAGTTTATAAGTACAGTGCAGTGATCTGATAAGAAACAATGAATATCGTAATATACAGTTTTATTTATTTTTAAAATTAATGAAACAACGACGGTTAATTTGAATTGTAAACTTTTGATTTGATAAAATATATTGTTTGTACAGAACTTACTGGATGTACATAAGATGAAAAATACTGTGGATAACACGTGGTATTGTGATGGGAAGAGTATATTGGTGGAGGTACTGTAACGTTGTGATTGCTCATGCTGTTATCGTATAACTGAAATTCACATCTAGTTTTATGTTATGTAAGCTCCATCATCGCACACTACTTACAGTTTACTGTTTTCTGTTTCGTTATCAGTATCAACATTTACAGTAATAACATGAAAGTCATTCGATAATGCTTATAATGAATTGTTAAAATTTTCATAAAATTCCAGTATTAAAAGTAGAAATCTTGCAAATACTGCAAGACACAACACATTACAATAATATATAAAAATGTGCAGGAATTATTTACTACCTTGCCAATTTCAACAATATCGCCACTTGTAGGGGTTGAAGCTGCAGAAACTGAAACTGGCACTGGGACTGGATAAGCCACCGAAGCGGTGACCCCTAAAGAGCGAGTATAGTCGTCTTCTACTGCAGTGTGCATGGGAAGCATTCCACCATTATAACTTCAATAAATTATGGTAAAATATATTTTATATTCAGCTTGCATATAACTTTAATATAAAAATTTGTTATCTGTTACTTTAAATCTTGTTTTTTGAACTTGTCCTGTCAAGTTTTACCAATCTTTGATACTCACTATACATAACTTCCAGTACAATATTAGTGATTTAATTTGTTACTTATACAAAATAAATTTAATTACTACTGCTCATCTTTTTTTAGCTTTTAAATACTAAACAATGCGCAGAATTTTGTACCTGTTAGGTGGTAGAGGAGGTGCTCCTGTGAGATGTGAGTACGGACTGTTCTGCTGCTGCAAACTAGGATTATTCCAATAAGTATTAGCTGCAGTAGCGCCAACATTCATATCACTATGAGAGTGAATACTGCCAATTAACTGAGTATTATCCAATGGATAACAACTATTATAATTTGCACTGTCTGAATACATCATTGGCTGTTTCAATAGCTTGCCAGACAAATTTCTTCCTGGTTGCTTCTGAAGTTAGCAGGAATAAAGATATAACATAAATTATTATCTTAGAGTTGGAATTTAATTTTTCAAATCTGATTATTATTGACTTTATATTAAACAAAAAAGTGGACTGTAGAAGAAATTATCTCTTTCCAATTATAATATTACAAATTGAAATTGAAAATACTAAATGAATTCATAAGGTCAGATTGAATTTATTTACAGAAAAATTTGGAATATTGAGCATTTAAAGAATTGCATAAATCACTCTGATTTATGTGATAAAGACCACAATTAATGTAATCTAGCAATAATGTTTCATTTGCAAATATTTTCTCTCAGCTGTAAATGACAGCTTACACGAGTAGAAGTACTATTGCTTTGTCTTAATTTCAAGGTCCAATCCAATAATCAGTCATCATTCAGATCAGCTGGTCAGTTTTAACCTTGAAACAAAGATCTTATGGAGGATGTAATATCAGCTGCTATATTTTGTGGTAATTTTTAATAAAAAATTCAATTTCACAAAATGATGGCTATTTTCCATAAACAAGTATTTTTGTAATAAATCCTAAAACAGTACAATGACATAATTAAATATCAGAGATAAAAACTGCAGACAATATGGACACTCAATCTCTGTAAGTTAGACATAAAACACTTTTATCTAGCGATATCTTACAAGATAATGATAGAGTATTAACTAGTGATAATGATAGCAATGAGACGATTATGTTGAATATGACAAGTTGATAATTGCATGTCAATGCAAATAATGATATCAAAAGTGAATAATCTAGATAAGGGAGATCATAATATGGATAAGAGATTCTCTTACTCAACTACATTATTTATATACTACAATTGTTATTGCTTTTAGCTATTTGCAAACTTTATACACTTTTAACAAGTCAATACGTGAAAATTAACAACTTTTAATATGAATACATGGCGTTGCGTTTACACGAATAAAATACATTGGTTTTGCAGTAAGTTTATACGCAACAGAATTTGCTGCAGAAAAAGATTACTTTTCTCGTAACACTTTCATTCCATAAATGTGTCAGTAACTCAAATTAGTGAAAATAACGAAAAAAAAAAGAATATGTATGGCAAAATGGCAGAAGTTTGAGATTAAAGAAGTGGACGTAGACGTTTGAGGTGTGAATATCAAAGAATCTGATGTAAGCATCGAAATCACAAGTAAAGTAATGAAGCAAAATCATTCTACACATTTCGACAACGCTTGAAAAACTCACTGATTAAATGCGAGAGTGAGAGAGTGCGTAAAGAATTGAACTACCGCATTCTTCAGAGTGAATTTGCAAAGAGTGTAACAATAATTGAGAAGTTTTTAATACAATTATGAGTTATTGAAACTGTACTTTGTAGAGTATCTCCAAAGTTACTATCAACTTCTAACTAAAAATCAACTTTTAAGAACACAGAAGGAATTAATAACATCTAAATTACATAACAGTTTGCGCAAATGTTCAAGTACGGTTAATTCTTGTTTTAGACGGTGGAGTTATGCCTCGGTGCATGTTCTGTATATAAGTTTTTGCTAGCAATCAAGTACTAGCATTTCTTACATTTTTTTAAAAATCAAGTAATGCGTCAGTTTTACGTACTTTTCACTCTTTAAATATCTAGCTGTTACTTAAGTGAAGACTAAGATAATATCGTGATAATCATTGTTTAATATTTTAAATTTAAAAAAATACCAGACTGAATCTTCAAAAAAATTTATATGTATGTGGTAAAACACAACTAAGATCCAATGCTAATTATCGCAATAAAAGTGGGAGGAGAGATGCAAATTGAAAATGAATAAAGTTCACTTTGCATTCAACAACAATGATATATAATTATTTCCATCTCACACAATATTAATTAAATTATTAAGAAAATTAAGTCCTAAACTAGAATAATATTCCAAAATGATCATCATTACGTACATCCATTGCAGATTTAGCTATTCAAAACTTGTATTGTCCAGTACAAATATTTATGCAATTAAAAATACAAGCAATGTAGACTGATTGAAGTGTAAAATTTAAGAATGTATAATATAATATTTCAATTTTAAAATTTAAGGAATGCATTAACTTATATTAAATCAACAATTTAAAAAAAGTGAATGTATGAATTTACTTTATGCAAGATTTAGGTTTATAAAACATTATCTATATTAAAGAAAGCGATTAGTATAACTATTCGTAAAAAAGTACTGGAAAACAATCACGATTCGCTACAAATTCTACAAACAATTCAATAAATTACTTTGATATCCGACTTAAAATAGTACTACTAGCATAAGACCAAAAGTAATAGCTAATTTTTTCTAACGATTCTTAAGAGAAAAATGAATGAATTACAAACGATCTTAAATTTCAAAAATAAAAATAAAATCATTTCAAGCTTGCAAATGATCATTTTGAATTATTTTGGAAGCTACAAATAATTAGTTTTATGCTTCAATAAAGCGAAATGTCCTAAATTTGCGCACAAGAATGGATGGGGTTTTTAAATAGTCAAGATTTCACTCAGAAATAGAAATGTATAAAACTAAAGCTAGTAAATACTTTTTTTGCTCAATTTCGGAATCGATCTAATATATTAGCTACCTCTTACTTATGACTGTAATCTATTTTTTACTTAAAATGAACTACGAATTGAGAGGAAATAAGTGAATGAATACCGTAATTTATGATAGCATAAAATGAAAATACGAGATATTTTATAATATAAATAGCAAAAAAAGGATGTAAATTTCTATGAATAGCAACACAATACAATACCATAAATGCTAGTCAGTACATATTTCTAGTACTCTTTTCTTATTCAATTTTTATTCATTTCCATTTAATTTAAATATGAAAAGAAGTAAAAAATGTAAGCAATAATAGTAAGAGTACCGTAATAGCAATAGTAGTAAAGAGTGCCAAATTGAACAAAATAAATAACACTTTAACAATATAAGCTACTATTTATTCTTTTTCAAGAATAAATAAACTGGCTACATTAATTACGTTAGCCTCATAGCGATGAATAATACTTACCTCAAGATTACAGTCACATAATACTATTTTCTATCTGTGCTCTTAACTCTGAATTTTGCAAACTAAATTCTCAAATTTCTGTTTCAACTTGCTAAATCCTTCAGCTTAAACTTATTGCAATATTTATTATTTTTAAATAATTAAAATCTCTTAAATTGCAGTTATTGGTTTATACTGACTTTCGATGATCGATCATATCGATCATGCTAATGATTAATAATATTATCCACTGGGATATTTTTGCTGACGTTGATTACACGAATTACCACTAATCTGTCAAACGGTCAAAAGTCAAAGGTCAGTGTAATGATTTGCTTGCAAGACATTTGTAGTGTGATTAACTGTCAAATCTTCCGTAATAAAGATATTGATGGAAGAAATGTCAGGAAGATTTTGAAGATATAATGAAAGAAATATCAAGGAAGTGCTCTTGACATTTGCGAATTCAAAAATAGCACAATAGTATTACTTTTTATAAATCAACTTAAAATTTCAAAATAATATTATGCTTTTTTAAATGTAGTAAAACAGTACTTAAATAGAATTACAATATTTTTATGTTCAGTTCAAATTTGTGCTGATAATTCACTTAAAAGTTTGCAATATCAAGAAAAAGTACTTAACTAAAAAGCACATTTGCATTTGCAACTGAATAATTAAACAAATTACAATTTTCGTCTACTGTTAGATCATTGCTAAAGTACGAATATTATGCAGTACATACTGGAATTACTAATCAAAATAATACTTGTCAAGTTATTAAATTGAAATTATTTCAGTAATATTTTCTCCTTTTGTCATTATAAGTTGATCACTGCTAAGTTTGAAATGAAGTTATTCTATGCTAGATCAATCACTTGTATTTTTAACTTATCGTGGAAAGCAAATAATTATTATACTTAATAATTCTTTATCACACTTTCAAATAAATGGAATGAAACATTATCTAAAATGAGCAAACTTACATTATTGTCGAACTGTTGGCATCTTAATGTGTTAGGATAATTTGAGTGATGACCAGAGAGACCTGAATGGTGGCTATTTGTATAAGACAGTGGATAACTGTTGGAATTACCGTTTTGTACTGAGTACTGATAACAGCTAACAGCAGCGGGATGCATAGTTGCAGTGGTTATGTAGGTTAATCGAGGTGTGGTATCATGTACAGAGTACTGACTGAGATACTGATTAGAAGTCCCGGAGAAATTACTGGTACTTGGAGAAATGGTTGATGTGGAGAATGTATGGACCATTTTGAAGAAGGGTCAATTCAAATTACAAGTGAACCAAAATATCTTTAAATGAAATGGAGTGATTTGAAAAACTGTCGAGAAAAGTTATGAATCCGAACGAATGGATGAAAGACGACTGTGCAGTATGCAAAGCAAGATATGAATGAAGAATGGATGGATGCAGTAAGAGCGGATTAAGAGGAGGGTAGAAAATCTTTCCCTTACATGGCCTAACCTCCATATCAGAAAAGCAAGCAAAGCTTGACCTCTGTACCTGTCCCGCCTCTTTCACTTGTAATCGATAAAGTGAATGATCGATTCGACATGACCTTAGAAATCAAGTAATGCTTCTCATTATTATTTCTTCCATCATTACCATTACCGTTATTACTGCCATCTATTATGTTTTATATTTTTGTTACTTACTCAAAATTATGAGAAATTTTGCCTTTAAAATATATAAAAATAAAAGTAACTCTGCTTGCTAATTATAACAGTCCAAATATCACTACGCAGACTTAAAGCTACTCATACTCTTTTACTATCAAAATTCAAAAATCACTTACAAAAAATGATAAGCCATCATTATATATATTATTTTAAACAGGCATAAAATTGTTTTCTGTATGCTAATTTTAAAACAATAAAATGTGAAGGAAAAATATATAAAATACATTTTACTGATATAATTATAAATTTTATAGAAATCCTTTAAATTACTTTTTAGCTC